CGTTCCTACTAAGGCCGCCTTTTGCAATTGACTAATGGCGAATTTGTCAATGTCAATGCCATTAATCAATTGCAAAAAGTGGCCTTATTATTATTATTATTATTATTTCAAACCTTTTAAGATGTTATGACAAGGGCCTCAATTTGAGTGGCGATTATGTCAAAAAGTCATGTCATGTTGTAGTTTTCTCCTGTGTATAATAAAAGTTCTGTATCTGCGAGTGTCTGTCACAGATAACCAAACGGAGGTTTATTTATAAAGACAATAAAAGCAGACTATAAATGAAAGCAAACAAAACTCTCTTTTCTGATCAACCCATTTTCCAGGTGACTTTTCCGAAAAACAACCACCCTGGAAATATTCCTGAATAAATCCACTTGGAGTCACCTCCCAGTCTGATCCAGCTTGCAAGCGTCCTCAATGCAAACTCCACGCCAAATTATTGGGGGGGTGCCAAATCCTGGATGTTCACTAGATGGCAGCAGATGGCACCCTTACATTTTAACCCCTTGTTGCTCAAGCAAGTCTGTCCGGATTTGGCACCCTCCCCAGACAGCCTCTTTCAACCACACAGGTGCGTGGCTGGTTTTATCAACCGAAAACCATTTCTGGGCTTTTTATGTTTCCTATTTTATTTCTGTTCGTTTTATATTTCCAGCAGGACTACCAGATTCTGTAACAGCTGTCTTCCCTATGCCAAACTTGCAAGATCCATTTTTCTCGCCACGTATGTGTACCCATCCGAGCTGGACCGTGTCGTTTCTCTGGGCCACATATGTGTGTGTATGTGGGGTATATGCATAATTCATTTCGGTTATTTATTTTTGGTCATGTTCATGCAGTCTTGTCTTGGAGCGGTTACCCTTTGAGAGCGGCGGGCCACGAAACCTCACTTTAATGTATGCTGATTAGTGTACATTTAAAGCGACTAAAATAAAGCGATTGTTCCATTCTCTTCAGAAGGAAGGCGACGGCGCGCTTTGCCATCTGCCGAAGCCGCTGGGAAGTCAAGAGGGCTCACAGCTCGTACGTGCAGCTTGTGCCGCTCTCCGTGTGCAAGGAGACAGCAACAGGTCTCTGCCTCTCTCCTCCGGCACAGCGTTCCCGGCGTCTTGCCTGCCAGGCAGATGCCGGGGTGATGCTGATGTGCCAGAAGGGGTACAGATGTTCAGAAATCTCGTGTTGTGTATTCTCTTTCTTCCGTGCAAACACGGAGTCTCTTGGCTTTCCCTCCAGGCATCAACAAGAGATAGTTGCTCTTTTGGCTGTCCAGCCTGAAGCTATTTAGCTTGGTAGACTTGCTCCTGTGTTCACAGGAACACTAGAATAGAGTAGAGTAGAATAGAATAGAATAGAATAGAATAGAATAGAATAGAATAGAATAGAATAGAATAGAATAGAATAGAATAGAGAAAAGGAATAGAATAGAATAGAATAGAATAGAATAGAACAGAGAATGAATAGAATTACAAGTAGAATAGAATAGAATAGAATAGAATAGAATAGAATAGAGTAGAGTAGAGTAGAGTAGAATAGAATAGAATAGAGTAGAATAGAATAGAGTAGAATAGAATAGAGTAGAATAGAATAGAGAAAAGGAATAGAATAGAATAGAATAGCATAGAATAGGAGAATGAATAGAATTACAAGTAGAATAGAATAGATATTGGAATATAGAATAGAATAGAATAGAATAGAATAGAATAGAATAGAATAGAATAGAATAGAGAAAAGGAATAGAATAGAGAAAAGGAATAGAATAGAATAGAACAGAATAGAATAGAATAGAATAAGAATAGAATCTGGAGCGGACCTTGGAGGTCTTCTAGTCCAGCTCAAGTAGGAGAACCTACATCATCTCAGACAAATGACTGTCTAGCCTCTCCAGTGATGGAGCGCCCACGATTTCCGGTAGCAAGCTGTTCCACTGGTTAATTGTCCTCACTGTAAGGAAACTTCTCAATTCCAGGTTGCTTCTCTCTTGGATTAGTTTCCAACCATTGTTTCTTGTCTTGCCCTCTGGTGCCTTGGTGAACAAGCTGACCCTCTCTTCTTTGTGGCAGCCTCTCAGATACTAGAATACTACTATCATGTCTCTTTGCGTGTGTGTCTGTGTGTGCGCACACATTTCCAGCACAGTTGCCTCCTGAAAAAGCACCTTTGGGCCAGTCCTGTTTTTATCTTCAAAATGCTTATTTTCTCCAAATCATTCATCTTAAGAGGAAAGCGATCTTACAGGCAGGACAGGGGCTGGCAGGGTGGGAGAAGCCCAGGGTCCCCAAAAATGGCAAGATTGGGGGATTATATTTTGGAAATCAAACTGTCACACAATGGCTTTGTTCAGGCATGGAGAGATCAAAAGGCAGCAAATGGCTTTGGGCAGCGTTAACAATAACCAAGGATATCCGTGTATGAGTATATGTATATCCATCTTGGAATATTTGACACCCTACCTTCATTTTTTTATAAGTAACTGAAGGCGGCTAATACGCCTTCCTAATACTATTTTCCCCACAACCACCCTGTGAGGTAGGCAGGGCTGAGAAGAGTGATTGGCTCAAGGTCACTCAGCAATCTTTGGTGCCTAAGGCAGGACTAGATAGTCACTTGTCTGAGATGGTCTAAGGCAGTGGTTCTCAACCTTTTTAATGCCGCGACCCCCAACCGGTCGTAAGTCGAGGACTACCCAACCGGTCGTAAGTCGAGGACTTTCCCTGCCCGGGAGCGCCGCGCATGCGTGGTGCCGCCCCCTGCACCGGCCGAGGCATAGCTGGCAAGCAGCAGAGACGGCGCAAGCCGACCACCGGCTGGGCCACCAGCTGGCCCAGCCCAAGGGAGGTAAGGCACCCGCCAGGCCCCACACGCGCCAGCAACCCTCCCTGCGCCCGCCGGCCTCCCACCTCCCACCCCTGCCCTCTTTTCCTTACATTTTTAGTAGTTGCTCAGCAGGGAGGGGTGGAAGCTTCCAGACAGTTCGCCTTTGCTGCAGACAACTTGCAGCACCGTTTGCAGAATGGGGCTTTTGGCGGGCTCAGCAGGGCAGAGACAGCCTGGACACTTCCTATTGGCTTTGGAAAGCCAATAGAATTAGACTCTCTTGAATAGAATCTAATTCTATTCAAGGGAGTAGCACAGCTAAGGAAAAGGGGGGGAAAAATGGCGGACTGCGTTGTTTGGTGACCCCCATGAAATGGTCATTCGACCCCAAATGGGGTCCCGACCCACAGGTTGAGAACCACTGAACTAGATCATTTCAACCAACCAAACCAACCAACCAACCAACCAACCAACCAACCAGAATAGAGCTGGAAGGGACCTTGGAGGTCTTCTAGTCCAGCCCCCTGCTCAAGCAGAACCTACACCATCTCAGACAAGTGACTGGCTAGCCTCTTCTTAAAAACCTCCAGGGATGGAGCGCCCACGATTTCTGACGGCAAGCTGTTCCACTGGTTAATTGTCCTGTCAGGTTGAGAACCGCTGGTCTAAGGTCTCCTGCTTGAGCAGGGGGTTGGACTAGAGAAGATCTCCATGGTGCCTTCCAGCTTTGTTATTATTCTTTAATGTATATATTGCAAGTCCATGTATGAGATGCCATATGCCAGGGCTTTTCAACTAGTGGTTCGGGTACCACCTGTGGTACATTGGCCACTGGCAGGTGGTACGTGGCCATCCTAGAAAAGGGGTAGCAGGGGAGGGGAATGAGCTGAACCGGTGGTAGCATCGCACAAGCCTGAGCGAGAGACGGCTGGAGCTGCAGGGCTGTCAGGGCTCAGCGGAAGCGCCAGGATCAGCACCAGGCTCCAGCTGGAACTCAGCACTGATCCTGACGCTTCTGCTGAGCCCCGAAAAAGCGCCAATCAGCTGGAATGTTGCAGCCTCTCCAGGGTCTTGTGATTTACATTCAGATGCTTGGCAACTGATTCATGACGGTCACAGTGTCCGAGGGTCTTATGAAGTGACCAAAACCTACTGCAACCATCCAGCAGATGGGGGAATAAAAACCAAACAACCCCCACCCCACCCCTGCTGCCAATCCTCAACAGAAATGCTCACAACAGTGAAAACCTCGGATAGGAGGAAGAGCGTCGCCAGGCGGGCAGGCGTTTTGCTTGGCTGTGGCTCAGGGGACTTTTTTCAGTGCCATTGTAACTTCAGTCACTAAGCAAACTGTTGTAAGTCGAGGACTACCCGTACTTCATCACTTTTTTCCTTTTTTGGTCAAGTTTTTGACACCTTGCTAGGCGACTGGTGGTCCTCGGATGTTGCCATATCCTAAAAGGGGTACAATGGGTGAAAAGCCCTGCCATATGCTAAAGAAAGCCTGGCCAAATCCAAGAGATTTGGGATCCACTGATGTGCTTGGCCTGTGCTCTCTCCTGGGGGCAAACCAGACGATGGAATAAAAATAATTTGCACCCTTGGCTCTCTTCAAGGCTTGGAGAGACCCTCCCCTCCCACGATGTCCTTCTCATTCTCACCCACCCATGTTTTTTTTCCTCCATAGGCTTGGATGGTCCAGCAAAGGTGTTCTGCTTCCTGGGTTGCAAAGCACGACAGCTCGCCCTCGACTTACAACAGTCCATTTAGTGACCGTTCAAAGTTACAATGGCACAGAAAATGACCGTGTTTTTTTTTTTTCACACAACCGTTGCAGCATCCCCAGGGCCACGCGATCCAAATTCAAAGACACTTGGCAACCGGACTCATATTTATGACGGGTGCAGTGTCCTGGGTTTGTGTGACCCCCTGAAAAGCAGTCAATGGGGAAGCCAGATTCACTTAACGGCTGTGTTCATAACTGAACAATTGCGATTAACAACAGTGGCAAGAAAAGCCACCAAGTGGGGTGAAACTCACTTATCAAATGTTTCAACTGAGCAACCTCAATTTTGGGCTCAATTACCGTCGTCGGTCAAGGACCACCTTTATTGCAAAGATACGTCACCCACCGTCCCACCACCCCATAGCAAACATCCCACAATAAATCACATTCTCCAAACTGCCAGTTGTGGTTCTTTTTCTTTTTAATGAAGGGTTTTGCACTTTTTCAAACAGTGATTGCCATCAAGACAGCGGTCTCTAACGCTAGAGAAAGTTGCAGCCGATCAGGATGAACGGACAACACCTGTAATTTTTCACAACTACATTGAGTGCTTTTTTTTTACGCACCCAGGATGCATGCAGTGCTATGGAAACAACACACAAAGGAGACGCCATGCTTTATGAAATGCAGAGAAGGAAACCTCGCACGGGAAGCTTACCAAGCCAACTTTTTTTTTTCCAGGCAAACGAGAAGCTCTGAAAGGAAACAGCCTTTGATTTGAACCGAATGACTGACACCCAGAGACGGATTAAAAGCGGGGAGCCACCGTCATCTTTCCGGCTGGCCAAAAATCCCCAAGGTATTTAGAGTTAAGCACGGCTGGAATTCTCCCCCTCAAGTCAGTCTTCGGTGTATAAATGCGATTGTGTTGTTTTGCCCTCCCCGCAAGCAGCAGAAAACAAAAGCAGCGATAATTTTGGGGAAGCCAGGGCAAGTAAATGTCACTTCAAAGTCACGGGTTATTTTGATCAGAGGTTTAGGCTACAAGAGGTGGGAACAACAACCACACGGCACCTCTCACTGGCTTTCCAAGTTCTTCCTGGCCCATTCCCAACTTGCTCAGAACATTCCTCTAATCACAAGCGATTCCCGTACATACATTCACCCAGACCACTTGCTGAAATCACTAGAAGCTTATCAAACAAGAGAAAGAGAGAAGAAAAAAAAGACATTTATGAAGATTTGGAAAAAGCCCAGGCTTGTCCATGCCCTTAAGAAATGCACCGGTGGGCTTTTTTTGAGCCCGCAGCAAAGCTAGAAGAGGGTCTAGCTTTGTCTGGCAGGCCTTCCAGCCGTTTGGAAAACAAGCCAGGATTCCTGGTCAAGAGAGAAGTGGCCATTTCAGGGCAAAAGAGGGGCTAAGCCAGAGCAACTGAGCTGTGGGCATCTGCCGGGCACTGGGGGGGGGGTGAGCAGGAGAAACCTGGCTAAGCCAGGCTCAGCTACGATCAACCCCCCCCCCCCAAAAACAGGTCCTCCCTCCCAGCCAGCCCAGAGACAGACAAGAGACAAGTGTACCAGGTTCGATTAATTCATTGTTAGATACTAACGACCACGCTCTGCTGGCGACAAGCGTGGGGATTTAAAAAAAACAAATTATGGGGAACACTGTCCCCGATAATTATACACACCCGTAGTGCAATGGAGGTCACTGCCTCCGATATAACACTCTGGTAGGCAAAAGCTACCTTGTTCTTGGACATTATGGGAGACCCTGCCCCCGATAATGGGACTCAACAATAACTTTGCGGGACTGGAGATTGGGGTCGTCGTTCACCCCCCCTCCCTTGCAGGACTGGAGGGTTTTCTGCAGTTGGTGACAAGCCCTCGGCGGGAAAGGGCGGGGGGCTGAGTTGAAGTCCAGGTGGGGAAGGGAAGGGGGGTCTGCAGTTGCTGGTCACTTCTGGACCGGCAGTAATCTAGTGCGCAAGATCCCAACTGCCTCTTGTGCAGAGCTGAGCAACAATTCAGAGGGATCGACACCAACGTGGGTGTCCAAACGGGCACATGCCGGTGGCCAGAATGTAAAGCTGTGGCACAGCTGCTCCAAGTGTGACATCTGGAGGGTGCAGGGGTGTTCTTCCTACCCCTTCCTGGGTGCCAGAAAGAGGCAACGGCTGCAGACCCTCTCCACGCAGGTGAGCTTCTGCCACGCTGCAGCAGAGAGAAATCCGGTTCCCCTTTTCTAAAACTTTTTTATTATTATTATTATGATGATGATTATTTCCAGATGTTTCGACCGCCGATCCTGCAGGCCGGCCATAGGAGGCCCCAAGGGCCCCAATCTCCAGTTTCCTCACGGTTAGCAGATGCTGCTTTTTATTAACTGTATCAAAAAAACGACAGTATAACTGTCATAATTATGGAAGTCACTGCTTCCGATAATTATATTCGGTAGAACACAAATAGCATTTATAGTGAACACTGTCACTGATAAATAAATAACTAATAAATATCTTCAAGGGCCGAGTCCGGCTGAACCCGACCCTCCCAGTGCGACCGACACGGAAAGACTCTGTGGGTGTTTTTCCCGGCGGGCCACAAAGCAAGAAGACAAACACAACACGGCTCCCCCCCCCCAAAAAGGGCTTCCCGTTGCTAATTCCTAAATCGTGCCGCCAGGACCCATCCTGGTCGGCCTCATCCCCCCCCCCCCCCGAGTTAAGCAGCCGGAGGGGAACTGGACACAGAAGGCAGAAGGCTCCACGTCCCGAGCTGATGATGGAAAAAGGCTTTTCAGGTGGGAGATTCGAACTCGGCTCTCCGTTTTTTTTTTCCCCAAGCAGTTGAGTGCTACCAATTTAGGCCTTTTGCTTCACGGGAGTTTGAACGCCAACTGGAACGTGGACGGCTTCCGCGCGCCTCTGTCCAGCCCGACGCGGATGGTTCACTTATTCTAAAAAAAAAAAAAAACAACACCACCCAGAAATCCGGCGGATTGCACGCTGGACAGGGTCACTGATTTGCGCCTTAAAATCTCTCCTCCCGAGACGCTTTTGAACGCCTCATCTTATCTTATTGGGGGGGGGGCCTCTAAAACAATCTGCTGAAAAGCTAAAGGGGAGGTGTTAAGGGTGCAACGGGTTGGGCGAAAGAGGGTAGGGAGGGGAGAGATCGGTGGGCAGTCTTTGGAAGGGGGGGATCAAGGTCTTCAGAAGTCGTTGTCGATGTCCCAAACGTCGCCCGAGAGGGCGTTCGCTGCTCCCTGGATGGTCCACGTCAAGAGGGCAAGTTGGTTCCGGAAGAGGTCTTCGTCGAAAGCGCTCGCGTTGGTCTTGAGGAAGCCGACGTTTTCTAGCAGGGCCTGGACGGTGTGGGACCCGGAGCCCAGGAAGATGTGGCGGAAAGGGGAATCCTTGGGGGAGACGTAAGGGGAGAGGAACAGGTACTCCACCTGCAAAAGGAAAGCAAGTATTTGGGCCATTTTAAAGAGGTCTGGGCTTCAACAGACAGAATTCCACAGCCCGGCAACGCTTCTAAACCAGAGGTCCCCCAATCTTTTGGGCACCGGGGACCGGTTCCGTGGAGAGAGGTTTTTCCGTGGACTGACGCGTGCGTGGTTTTGTGTGCTGCCTGAATCTCACAGGTGGGGCTTTGCTTGTTTGTGTGGACTGGTTGCTGGCATGCCGCGGCCCGATACCGGTCCATGGAGCAGGTGTTGGGGACCCCTGTTCTAAACAACAAAGAAGACTTTGGGGAAAGTGCAGAGAAGAGCAACTAAGATGATTGAAGCCCTGGAGATCAAAACGTATGGAGGACGGTTGCAGGATTTGGGTTTGGCTAGTCTAGTGAAAAGAAGGACTGGCGGGACATAATAATAATAATAATAATAATAATAATAATAATAATAATAATAATAATAATAATAATAATAATAATAATAATAATAATAGTAGCAGTACTACATGGCCAATACATTAAAAAAATAGCTGGGAAAGCAGATAATAACCTGGCAATGGCTAAGAGCAGGAAAATTGAAGAAAGAGACTGAGGGACTAATTCTGGCTGCACAAGACCAAGCCTTAAGGACAAATGCATACAAAGTCAAAATTGAGAAAACAGCAACAGTAAGTGCCGCCTATGCAAAGAAGCTGAAGAAACAGTGGACCACTTGGTAAGCTGTTGCAAGAAGATTGCACAGACTGACTACAAGCAGCGGCACGACAAAGTAGCAACAATGGTGCATTGGAAGATCTGCAAAAAATATCATTTGCCTGTAAGCAAAAACTGGTGGGATCATAAAATAGAGAAAGTCATAGAAAATGATAAAATTAAACTGCTCTGGGACTTCAGAATTCAAACAGACAAGCACCTGCAACATAACACCCCAGACTTAACAATTGTCGATAAGAAAGACAAAAAAGTCTGGATAGTGGACGTGGCAGTGCCTGGAGACAGCAGAATAGACGAGAAAGAACTGGAGAAGATAACAAAATACAAAGACCTACAAATAGAAATAGAAAGACTGTGGCAAAAGCAAGCAAGGGTAGTACCAATAGTCATAGGCTCCTTGGGTGCAATCCCAAAACAACTGGAGCACCACTTAAACACCATTGGCATTGACAAATTTGCTATTAGTCAATTGCAAAAGGCGGCCTTACTAGGAACTGCTTCCATCCTGTGACAATACCTGTAATACCATCAAACATCCACATCTGCCTATCCCAGGTCCTTGGGAAGGACTCGATAGGTAGACAAAATGCCAAATTCAGTCTGAACATCTGGCTGACTGTGCGATGATCCATAATAATAATAATAAAAAAAGTTAGAAGGGATCTTGGAGGTCATCTAGTCCAACCCCCTGCTCAGGCAGGAAACCTTATACCAGGGCTTTTCAACCAGTGGTACGTGTACCATCTGTGGTACATTGGCCCCTGGCAGGTGGTATCTATCTATCAAGGAGAGAAGCAAGCTGGAACTAAGGAGAAATTTCCTGACAGGGAGAACAATTAGTCAGTGCAACAGAAGTTGCCTTCAGAAATTATGGATGCTCTATCACTGGAGGTTTTTTAAGAAGAGACTGGACTGTCACTTGTCTGAAATGGCATGGGGTCTCCTGCTTGAGCAGGGGTTGGACTAGAAGACCTCCAAGGTCCCTTCCAGCTCTGTTATTATTCTTTAATGTATAAGGCATATAAAGGAAGTTTGGAGGAACTGGGTACGTCTAATGAAAAGGACTAAAGTTGACATGATAGCAGCCTTCCAGTATCTCAGGGGCTGCCCCAAAGAAGAGGGAGTCAAGCTATTCTCCAAAGCACCTGAAGGCAAACAAGAAGCAACGGATGGAAACTCATCAAGGAGAGAAGCAACCTGGAATTAAGGAGAAACTTCCTGACAGTGAGAACAATTAACCAGTGGAACTCCTTCCCTCCAGAAGCGGTGAATGCTCCAACGCTGGAAGTTTTTAAGAAGAGACTGGACAGCCACTTGTCTGAAGTGATCTAGGGTCTCCTGCCTGAGCCGGGGGTTGGACTAGAAGACCTCCAAGATCCCTTCCAGCTCCATTATTATTCTTTGATGCATATATATTGCCAGGCCTCTTCCAACTCTATTCCGTTCTTCTGAATACTTAAGGCAACCAACATCAATAGCAAAGCATAAGCTTAGCCAGCTCGTTCAGGGAGAACCGTCGTTAGCAAGAGAGAAAAAGAAAAACTGTAAAAAAGCTCACTTTCATAAGCCGGTCATTCAGGAGACGGGACGCGTCCCGGTCGTCGAGGTCTGTGTTTTTCACATCCTGGGTCAGAGCAGTTGTGGCGCGGGTAAAATCTCCACGGGCCTGAAAGAGCCACTGAATGTCCAAACCCAGTTTCTGCAGCAGAAGACAAACAAGACCGCTAGGTTAGCAACCAGGACACACAACGGAGCTGCACGGCAATTTACCTGAGGCTTCGTCAGGCATTAACCATGGGGCGGGAAACCAGGATTGTTGGCATTTCAGACACAAACTCTTGCTAGAGGCTGGACAGTCACTTGTCTGAAATGGTATCGTTCTCCTGCTCGAGTAGAGGGCTGGACTAGAAGACCTCCAAGGTCCCTTCCAGCTCTATTCTATTCTATTTTCTGTTCTGTTCTATTCTATTCCATTCCTTTCTCTTCATTCTCTATTCTATTCTATTCTATTCTATTCTATTCTATTCCTTTCTCTTCATTCTCTATTCTATTCTATATTCTATTCCATTCCATAGTCTAGTCTAGTCTATTCATTTTCCATTCTATTCTATTCATAGTTCTATTCTATATTCGATTCTATTCCATTTTGTATTCTATTCTATTCTATTCTATTCTATTCTATTCTATTCTATTCTATTCTATTCTAATTCTAATTCTATTCCATAGTCTAGTCCAGGGGTAGGCAACCTCGGCTCTTTTATGACTCATGAACTTCAACTCCCAGAATTCTGGAGTTGAAGTCCATGAGTCATAAAAGAGCCAAGGTTATTCTATTCTATTCTAGTTCATATTCTAGTCTATTCATTTTCCATTCTATTCTATTCATAGTTCTATTCTATATTCGATTCTATTCCATTTTGTATTCTATTCTATTCCTCTATTCTATTCTATTCTATTCTATTCTATTCTGTTCTGTTCTGTTCTGTTCTATTCTGCTGTTCTCTTTTATCCTTATTCTATTTCTATTCCACAATCTATATTCTATTCCATTCTCTATTCTATTCATTTTTTATGTTCTACTCTACTCTTTCAATCCTGCCCAAATGTCTGGTAACGTAAACTTGGCAATCTTTCCAGTGTAGCCCCAACAGTTACCCAGCCTGATAATGAAATGTTCAGAAACCAACCCTCCAGCTCGGAAAACGAACCTTCACCCTCCTGGCTAAGATACCCAGGACCGCAGGGTATTTTGGAGTTCCTTGATGCTCTTCTTGGGCTTAGTGGTTTCCTGCAGACATTTTATTACCCAACTAGGTTATATCATCAGGGCAACCCCCCCCCTTTCTAGCACTGATGATGTTCCCTAGTTTGGTCATGAAACATCTGCAAGAAAACCACCCAGCTCAGAGAGCACCCAGGACCCCACAGTCCTCCTCCTCCACTCTTCAAAACCCCCTCCCCTCCTAGCACTGACATTGTTCCCTACTTGGATCATGAAATGTCTGCAAGAGCACCACCCAACTCAGATAGCATGAAAGACACACACCCCCCGTCCTCCTAGCACTGATGATATTGCCTACTTGGGTCATGAAACGACTGCAAGAAAACCACCCAGATCAGAGAGCAGCCAAGCACATGAGATAAACATTTTTTTTTTTTTTTTGATACCCGAGCATTTCCAGAAGAATGCATCTTGGTTTTTCACTGATCCAACCTGTTTCATTTTAATACACTTTGTACTTGCTTTTGGCCTTCTAAGCTGCCTAAGAGTTACTTGGACGATGAAACGGGCGCCATATAAATTCAGCAAATAAACACCCCCTCCCTCTTTCTATAGGCAGGTGGGATGGCTCAGCGGTTAAAAGATGTTGTCCAAATGAACAGGCCGGATTTGACATCTGAGCGCCGCACGGCAAGGTGAGCCCCCGGTTCCTTGCCTCGGCATCTGCCCACCGGGCAGTTGACAAACGCGCAAATGCGAGTAGATAAATAGGTACCACTTCGGTGGGAAGGGAAGCGTGTTCGAGGAGCCAGCGTTGCCACACGACCACAGAAAATTTCTTTGGACATTGGCTGACTCCCTCGGCTAAGAAGCGGAGAGTCCAACACACTTCCCCTTTATTTATTTTTTTAACCTTATTTAAAGGACCATTCACAAGAGAGATATGTTATTGTATGGAGAAGATGGATAGAATATGTTCAGAAGAAATATGGAACTACAAAGGGTCACTTATTTTATGAGTAATGGAATTGTTTATAAAATTATGATGTTAAAGTTTGAAGGGAGTTAAGGGTTAGTATGATTTTGGTTATTGTATAATTATGTTTAATATGTTTGTATAACCCTGTACTTGGCTCTGGAAAGTGGGGGGGGGCAGGGGGGAGGATGGGTTGAAGAAGGTTAAATAGCTCAGATAAGTAGAAATAGTTTTATTGTATATAATATTGATGTTTTAATTTGGAGAGAGGAATTGCTCGGGCATTTCCCCTGGATTGCATCCCGAGTGAGAAGATAGGAGGAAGGGGAGAAGTAAGTAGGAAGGTGGAGGAGAAGGGGAGAGTGAGGAAAAAGAGGGAAGTGAGAGAAGAGGTTAGAGGGTGGATGCGGTTTGGGAGGAAATGGGTGAGCAATACCGAAAGTTGTGTGTATAAACTTTTATTTTATTCTTTATCTGAAGTACTCTTTATAAATGTAATGTAAAATTGAAAATAAAAAAAAAAATTTACAAAAAAAAAAAAAAGCGGAGAGTCCAACACACTTCCCCTTCATTTTTTTTTTTTTTAACCTTTCTAGAGATGGGGGTCCTGCCCTCTTGCTGTATCTTCTGTTCTACCACCACTACTACCCCCCGCATCACTCCTATAGCGTAGAGCAGTGTTTCCCAAACTTGACAATTTTAAGGCATGTGGACTTCAACTCCCAGAATTCCACAGCCAGCAATGCTGGCTGTGGAATTCTGGGAGTTGAAGTCCACATGCCTTAAAATTGTCAAGTTTGGGAAACACTGGCGTAGAGGTTTCCAACTGTTCCGGGCTCGTGGCCCGGAGGGAAGGAGAGCAGCTTCCAAATTGGTGCGCGCACACGCGTGAACACAAACAGGGCCGTCTACATCGGCGCGGCACTAGCGGTTTCATTCGTGCCCGGGGCCACGGACACCAGCGTGGGTGGCAGGGAGCGTGCACGGGCACCGGCCAGCTGTTTCTGCGGCCCGTCGTCCAAGAGGCCGCAGGCCAGAGGTTGGGGACCAACTGCTGTAACAAACCGTCTCCCGTCCTTTACCTTCATTTCCTTCTGGTAAGGGAGCAGTTTGGCCACAAAATTGTGCAGCCAGCTGTCGTAGCTCTTGTAGTCCAGATAGAGTTCCCGGTCGTGGGTCAAGCGGAGGGCCAACCGGCCGGCAATTTCGGCAGCCAGGCGGACGGCGTTTTCCATCAGGTTGTCGCTGTTGCCGAAGGCCGAGAGCAGGTTGTCTGGACTGTCTTCGGCTGTGCCAAAGTAGGGGTAGGGATAGGTGCCCAGGCCCTTCGAAGGAGAAACAAACAAACAAAAAACAGTGAGCCGTGCCTCGCAGAGTGGTGTCTTTTTCTGCGCCCTGGTTTTTGCCTCCAATCCGAGTAGCAACGGATTGTGAAGAGAGAAAAATAGAGGAGTTTGTGAGCTGAGCCTTATAAGGAAGCATCCTGTTTTCTAGCTGCTTCGCTGGTACTTAGAAGCAAGCATAATATAATAATAGTAGTAGTAGTAGTAGTAGTAGTAGTAGTAGTAGTAGTAGTAGTAGTAGTAGTAGTAGTAATGACAAAAAAATCTGGATAGTGGACGTGGCAGTGCCTGGAGACAGCAGAATAGACGAGAAAGAACTGGAGAAGATAACAAAATACAAAGACCTACAAATAGAAAGAGAAAGACTGTGACAAAAGCAAGCAAGGGTAGTACCAATAGTCATAGGCTCCTTGGGTGCAATCCCAAAACAACTGGAGCACCACTTGAACATCATTGGCATTGACAAATTCGCTATTAGTCAGTTGCAAAAGGCGGCCTTATTAGGAACTGCTTCCATCCTGCGACGATAGTAAGCCTATCCCAGAAGACTCGATAGGTAAGCCAAGTCTGAACATCTGGCTGACTGTGCGATGATCGATAAGAAGAAGAAGAAGAAGAAGAAGAAGAAGAAGAAGAAGAAGAAGAAAGAAGAAGAAGAAGAAGAAGAAGAAGAAGAAGAAGAAGAAGAAGAAGAAGAAGAAGAAGAAGAAGAAGAAGAAGAAGAAGAAGAAGAAGAAGAAGAAGAAGAAGAAGAAGAAGAAGAAGAAGAAGAAGAAGAAGTAGTAGTGACCTTGGAGGTCATCTAGTCCAACCCCCTGCTCAGGCAGGAAACTCTATACCATTTCAAACAAATGTCTGTCTAGTCTCTTCTTAAAAACTTCCAGTGTTGGAGCATTCACCGCTTCTGGAGGCAGGTTGTTCCACTGGTTAATTGTTCTCACTGTCAGGAAGTTCCTCCTTAGTTTTAGGTTGCTTCTCTCCTTGATTAGTTTCTATCTAGCCTTCAGGCACTTTGGAGAATAGCTTGACTCCCTCTTCTTTGGGGCAACCCCTGAGATACTGGAACCCTGCTATCATGTCTCCCCTCGTCCTTCTCTTCGTTAAACTAGACATACCCAATTCCAGCAACCGTTCCTTATATGTTTTAGCCTCCAGTCCCCTGATCCTCTTTGCTTCTCTTCTCTGCACTCTTTCTAGAGTCTCAGCATCTTTTCCATCTCAACATGTTTTCCATAGCTGAACACAAATATGTTCAAAACCTCTGGCAAAATTATGTCCCACCCTCTGAAAGATTCCCAGCAGAGAAAAAGATTATAGGCTTCCAAATAAATTCATTTACAATACTAGACAAAGAATGTGCCTTCCCATCATGCAACAGCTGTTTCAGGAGGATGGGTATTTGGGTTTTTTCGGGTTTTTTTTTTTTTTTTTTTTGCAAACTCTCAGAGAAGGGTATCAATATACAGCACCACAGACGGTTGAGCCTCCAGGCAACCTTAGAATCAAAAGTAATGATTTAGAAGCTAACTGCCTAATGTAAGATGTATGATATAATGACTGGGAATATCTCAGCAGGGTCTGTGTCCCTTTAAGAGCCAGCTGGGCCTGTGTCTCTTTAAGAGCTTTGTATAAAAGGGACAGCTCCGCATGTGTGTGCTCTCTCTTCCGTTTCCTGCTGCATAACTGCTGTGTGTTGGATCCTGCTGTATTAACACATGTATGTATATTGTTCCCGGTGCATGCTATTGTAGATAGTATAAGATAAACCACCATTTAATGTAGACCACTGTTTACTGTGTTTACTACTGGGTTATCTCAGCGCAATAGGACTGTGCACGCTCTGACAACACTCATGTCGTGGGTAGCTGGGAGACGAATGCCGCTGTAACTTCCAACGGCTACTAAACAAATGGTTGCTAGTCAAGGACATCCGGTGTGTAAGCCACGGTTTCTCTTTTCTAAATTTTTGACATTTGTTTTGTTTGTCATCACTGGCTTTGACTATCCCCTTAGATTAGGGGGTCTCCAAACGTGGCCACTTAAAGACTTGTGGACTTCCACTCCCAGAATTCCCCAGCCAGCCAAGTCCACAAGGCTTAAAGTGGCCACGTTTGGACACCCCGGCCTTAGACTCTTCATCAAAGCGTTTGCTCGATGGGAAGAGAGCAAATGCTCTGAAGCCCAACACACTGACCCAGCAAGACACACACACCAAATTCTGAAGGCAGTTTGCACACTCCCAACGTCAACAGAGGCGGTGGGAAAGCTACTGCAGCTGAAGGGCAAGTTCAGAACTCACGTTGTTGATGCTGAAGGAGATGGCTGGGATCCCTGAACATGCGATGAACGCTCTGGCTGCGTCATCTACCCGAAATGGAACTCTGGATTTAGGGGGGGGGGGGAGGAGAGAAGAAAGAGGAGGGGGGGGGAGAAAGAGAAACACTTTTCAGCCACGGCCTTATAACTTTTCAGAGAGCCAGGATGGCCTAATGGTGAAAGCATTCAGCTAAAAACCAGGAAACAGAGAACTCTAGACCTGCTTTAGACAGAAAAGCCAGCGGAGTGACTTTGGGCCAATCACCAGGAGGCGGTGAGTTCTAGTCCCGCCTTAGGCATGCAAGCCAGCTGAGTGACTTTGGGCCAATCACCAGGAGGCGGTGAGTTCTAGTCCCGCCTTAGGCATGAAAGCCGGCTGAGTGACTTTGGGCCAATCACCAGGAGATGGTGAGTTCTAGTCCCGCCTTAGGCATGAAAGCTGGCTGAGTGACTTTGGGCCAATCACCAGGAGGCGGTGAGTTCTAGTCCCGCCTTAGGCACAAAAGCTGGCTGGGTGACTTTGGGCCAATCACCAGGAGATTATGAGTTCTAGTCCCGCCTTAGGCATGAAAGCCGGCTGGGTGGCTTTGGGCCAATCACCAGGAGACGGTGAGTTCTAGTCCCGCCTTAGGCATGAAAGCCAGCTGGGTGGCTTTGGGCCAATCATCAGGAGACGGTGAGTTCTAGTCCTGCCTTAGGCATGAAAGCTATTAAGTGACTTAAGGCCAATCACCAGGAGGTGGTGAGTACTAGTTCCTCCTTAGATATGAAAGTGGCTGGGTGACCAATCCCTCTCTCAGCCCAACCCACCTCACAGGGTCGTTGTGGGGAAAACAGGAGGAATGAGCACGATGTCTGCTCTCACTCTTGAGTAACTTATAAAGTAGTAAACGTGGCGGGAGGGGGGAGAAATCTAATCAGTAAACTATGGCATCAGAACTCCACCAATATACATCAATAACCAAGTTACAAGGAAGCAACAATATCGTGGTTTTTGGGGGCTGGGTGAAGAAGTTTTAGATTGAAGTTTTTGACTATCTATGCCAGTGGTTCTCAACCTGTGGGTCGGGACCTCATTTGGCGTCGAACGACCATTTCACGGGGGTCGCCAAACAACGCAGTCCGCCATTTTTTCCCCCTTTTCCTTAGCTGGGCTACTCCCTTTTATTCTATTGGCTTTTGAAAGCCAATAGAAGAGACTCTCTTGAATAGAGTCTAATTCTATTGGCTTTCCAAAGCCAATAGGAATTGTCCAGGCTGTCTCTGCCCTGCTGAGCCCGCCAAAAGTCCCATTCTGCAAACGGTGCTGCACCAGTTGAGTAATCCTCGACTTACGACCAGTTGAGTAGTCCTCGACTTACGACCGGTTGGGGGGTGGCGGCATTAAAAAGGTTGAGAACCACTGATCTATGCTGCATTCCAGCACATCCTAGCAATCTGAAAACAAGCTTAGGGCCAGGATTGCACAAAACTAAGTTTTCGCCATATTATTTATTTATACGGAGAAGGAAAACATGCTTGTTTTCTCCTTCGATGCTCCTTCAAATTCACTTTTCGGAAAAAAAAGGCACAGCAGAATTAAGACTCGCTGTGACGTGTGGGGCAGGGTGTTTATTTTTCGCCTGAAAAGTAGGCCTTGTAACGGAGGAAACTTCACGTGGGAAGAGGCTATAGAAGCAGCTCTCCCGCAACCTGCCAAATTTAAATTTCATTTATTTAGCGCACGGTACGTCACATGTGGACCAGCAAGATAGATTAACATTTAATCTAGATTAGTAGAACCCAATAAAAGATAAATGTGAAGAAGATCTGCGTTCAACTACCAGTCTCTAGGTCAGTGGTTCTCAACCTGTGGGTCGGGACCCCATTTGGGGTCGAACGACCATTTCACGGGGGTCGCCAAACAACGCAGTCCGCCATTTTCCCCCCCCTTTTCCTTAGCTGTGCTACTCCCTTTTATTCTATTGGCTTTTGAAAGCCAATAGAATAGACTCTCTTGAATAGAGTCTAATTCTATTGGCTTTCCAAAGCCAATAGGAATTGTCCAGGCTGTCTCTGCCCTGCTGAGCCCGCCAAAAGTCCCATTCTGCAAACGGTGCTGCACCAGTCGAGTAGCCCTCGACTTACGACCGGTTGGGGGTCGCGGCATTAAAAAGGTTGAGAACCACTGCTCTAGGTGATCTAGCCACGGAAGGGCAGCAGCATTGATATTTATTTTCAAAGTGGTCTGAATGTTGAGTAGTAGCTAGGAGAAGCTCAGCACAGAATCTGGTTTAAGGGAGACGCACCTTTAGGATATGCGCCTTGCGCTTGGACAGAGGGGATGACACAGGAGATGGGGCGATGGCGAAGCCTTGCAAATGCAGCAGGCAAGGCCAGAAAGCTCGGAGACTTCTCGGGGGGGGGGGGAACACTTATATTTTATAAAATCTGACTATCAGTGACAGTTTTTAGCTGCTTCTCGGAACGGTGAGCGGCAAGGCAGGAGTCCTAACGGCCACAAGGAGATCGGGGGAGAGACAAAGCTTTACTTACTCTTGGCCTGCAAAACCAGCACGGAGATTGAGCGGCAAAAAGGTGGCCTAAAAAAAAAAGGGGGGGGGACAGAAAGAGAACTGCATCAGACTTTTTCCATAACAGGGATAATCCACAGCCCCCCCTCTTTCCCTGAAGACTTAAAGTTCTGTGGCTCAATTTCAAATCCCACTCCCTTGCCTGAAAATTTCTGCTACTGTTGCTGCTCTTAAATCAGAAAGCAACAGGTGTTCAACAGCACAGCTTAGGGAAAGTGAAGTCTCTCTGTGTATAATATCTATCATCTATCTATCTATCTATCTATCTATCTATCTATCTATCTATCTATCTATCATCTATCTATCTTTATCTATCCATCCCTATCTACCATGTGTATATCTATCTATCATTTATCTAATTATCTATCTCTATCTATCCATCCCTATGTATTTATGTATGTATGTATCTATCCATCTCTTTTTATCTATGTATGTACCTATATCTATCTATCTATCTATCTATCTATCTATCTATCTATCTATCTATCTATCTATCTATCTCTATCTACCGTATTTTCTAGCGTATAGGACGACTCGGCGTATAAGACGACCCCCCCCGACTTTGGCGCCGATTTGCATGCTTTAGAAAGTCGTCTTATAGCCGGAAAATACGGTATCTATCTATCTATCTATCTATCTATCTATCTATCTATCTATCTATCTATCTATCTATCTATCTATCTATCCATCCATCCATCCATCCATCCCTCCCTATCTACCATGTCTATATCTGTCTATCATTTATCTAATTATCTATCTCTATCTATCCATCCCTATGTATCTATGTATGTATGTATGTATATATCTATCCATCTCTTTGTATCTATGTACCTATTATCTATCTATCTATCTATCTATCTATCTATCTATCTATCTATCTATCTATCTATCTATCTATCTCTCTCTCTCTCTCTCCATCCATCCCTATCTATCATCTCTACCATTTATGTCTATATCATCTATCTATCTATCTATCTATCTATCTATCTATCTATCTATCTATCCCTGCCTGTCTGTCCGTCTGTCTACTCACCCACCCACCCATATCTGTCTGTCTGTCTATCTATCTACCTATCTATCCATCCCTATCTGTCTATCTATCCATTTCTATTTACCATCTATCTCTAATTATCTATCTAATTATCCATCCATCCATCCCACTCACCCACCCATTACAAGAACCAGTCTGGTCTACTATTGAAGACACCAGGCTAGAAACCAGGAGACTTGTGAGTTCTAGTCCTGCCTTAGGCCTGAAAGCCAACTGGCTGAATATAGACCAATCACCAGGAGACAGTGAATTTTAGACCCGCCTCAGGCTCAAAGGTTTGCTGGGTGCCTGTTCGCCAATCACCAGGAGATGATTGAGTTCTAGTCCCTCCTTAGGCATGAAAGCCAACTGGGTGACTTTGGGCCAATCACCAGGAGACGGCGAGTTCTAGTCCCACGTTAGGTATAAAAGCCAACTGGGTGACTTTAGGCCAATCACCAGGAGACGGTGAGTTCTAGTCTCACGTTAGGTATAAAAGCCGGCTGGGTGACCTTAGGCCAGTCCCTCTCTCTCAGGCCCACCCACCCACTCGACAAGACTGTTACGGTAAAACAGGAAGGAGGATTAGACATATTCGCTGCCTTGAGCTTTTTTACAATAAAATCAGTAAAGGCAGGATAAAAATGAGCCAATCCAATACAGACCAAGGGATCAGCAGATCTTCCTTTCGTTCCTGCGGGGCGATGAGAGGCACCCTCAGCTGCCTGGCTCACTTACTGTTATTTCCCCAGAAGAGCTCCAAGGAGGCCAGCCCTACTCACCTCTGTGACGGCTTCCTCCAGGAGCTTTTTCAACAAGGGGCTGGAAGAGAAGCGGAACGCCCTGGACCCTGCGGGATGGAAAGAGAGGCTTCAGCTCCGGAGCCTCTGAGCTACCGAGACGGCAATACGACAAAGGCCGCCCGATTTCAGAGCCGATTGGAAGAGCCGAGACGTTGCTGGCACCCTGGCTCACTCCCAATTCAAACCTTTACCGACTAGCCCAGACACGTACCTGACACGGCTGCGTCCAGATTGATGTAAGCAAACGCCTTCAGGTGCAGCGAAGCGGCGTAGCCCTGAGAGGGTGTAGAGAGAAAAGAAAAAAGTGCGATTTGCAAACTCTTTCTACAAGCTAAGATTCCTTTATTTATTGACCCAGTTTATACAGCCGCTCCTCTCACAGGAAAGGAGGACGGTGGCTGGAGTAGTTGAAACAGCTGGGCAAGAGCTGCGTTCCAAACCCCAGCGCTGCCATGGGGCAGGGCTGAGCTCTCGTCCTTTACCCCAGCTCCTATGGGGGGCAGGAAAGGAGCCCCCCCCCAACTGGGCATCCAGGGATGTCACTGTCTAATCCAGGGATAGGCAACCTTGGCTCTTTTATGACTGGTGGACTCCAACTCCCAGAATTCCTGAGCCAGCCATGCTGAGGGGAAAGGGAGAGGTTTCCAAGATGAGCCATGCTGGCTGAGGAATTCTGGGAGTTGAAGTCCACGAGTCATGAAGGGCCCATAGTTCCCCTATCCTGGCTCAGGAATTCTGGGAGTTGAAGTCCATGAATCATAAAAGAGCCCAGGTGGCCTACCCCTGGTCTAATCCTTTCAACCTGGAAGCATGTCCTGACTTTGGCGAGGGCAAAAACCTCACAAAAAGCAGCTCTGTAGCACGGAAGGGTTTCCAAATTTATTTATTTATTTAAAAATCCAGCCCTTACCTCCAGCCACTCCGTGGCACCGACAGCTCCGAATTCGCCGGCGCTCCAACTGGCAAAGATGACGCTCCTGTGAGGTTTGTAGCCATCTGAAAAGCGAGAGAGAGAGAGAGAGAGAGAAGAGGAAAGGGAGGAGAGGGAGAGAAGGAAAGAGAAAGAGAAGGGAGAGAGAGAGGAAAGAAGAGAGAGAGAGAGGAGAAGGAGAGAGGAGAGAGAGAAGGAAAGAGAGAGAGAGGAGAGGGAGAGAGGAAAGAGGGAGAGAGAAAGAAAGGGAGAGAAGAGAGAAGGAAAGAGAGAAAGGAGGAGAGAGAGAGAGAGAAGAGGAAAGGGAGGAGAGAGAGGGAGAGAGGAAAGAGAGAGAAAGAGAAGGGAGAGAGAGAGAGGAGAAAAGAGAGAAGGAAAGAGAGAGAGAAGGTAAGGGAGGGGAGAGGAGAGAGGAAAGAGAGGAGAGAGAAGGAGAGAGAAAGAAAGAGAGAGAGAGGAGAGGGAGAGAGGAAACAGGAAGAAAGAAGGAAAGAGAGAGAGAGAAGGAAAGAAAGAGAGGAGAGCGGAAAGAGAGAAAGGAGGAGAGAGAGAGAGAAGAGGAAAGGGAGGAGAAAGAGGGAGAGAAGGAAAGAGAGAGAAAGAGAAGGGAGAGAGAGAGAAGGCAAGGGAGAGGAGAGGAGAGAGAGAAGGAAAGAGAGGAGAGAGAAGGAAATGGAGAGAAGAAAGAGAGAAGGAAAGAGAGGAGAGAGCGGAAAGAGAGAAAGGAGGAGAGAGAGAGAGAGAGAGAGAGAGAGAGGAGAGAGAAAAGTGAGGGAAGAGAGGGAGAAGGAAAGAGAGAGAAAGAGAAGGAAAGGGAGAGAGAGAGGAGAGAAGGAGAGAGGAGAGAGAAGGAAAGAGAAAGAGAGGGAGAGAGAAGGAAAGAGAGAGAGAAGGAAAGGGAGAAGGAAAGAGATAGATAGATAGAGAGAGAGAGAGAGAGAGAGAGAGAGAGAGAGAGAGAGAGAGAGAGAGAGAGAAATCAGCGATTGTATTTGGTTCCATCATGCCCAAACAACCACAGACTTTTTCTCCCCCCACCCCACCCTTGGTCCATTTCCCTCCAAAGCCTCACCGGTTTTGACCATCTCGGAGAGGGTGTGGGCCAGCTCCAGCAACAGGGCCGTCCCGACTGCGGCTTTCACCGTTCCGGTTTTCCAGGCATCGCGCTGAGCTCCGATCACGACATAGCGATCTGCAGGAGAAAGCGGCTTTAACCGACGCCAAAAATGGGCAAAGAGGCAGGGAGGGCTGGGACGGCCAGAAAGGGGCAGGATGAGGGTCAATAGGGCAGTGGAAAGCTCTGGAAGGGGTACTGGGCCCAGGATACGGCCTGACTCCGGTCACTGACAGGTAGTCCTTGACTTACGACCCACGACGAAGGCCAAAATTTCCGTCGTTAAGCGAGACACTTTTTTTAACCAGCAAAGTCAACGGGTAAACTGGATTCGCTGAACGACCGCAGGATTCGCTGGCCTTTGGCGGCTCGCTTAACAATCGAAGCGAGGGAGGTTGTAAAATGGGGAAAACGCCCTTAACTGCCTTGCTTAGCGACAGAAATCTGGGGTTTCAGGGCTGTCGTAAATTGAGGACTGCCTGTGATGTTCCTGGAGAGGCTGAACAGCCAATTTGGGGGGATGCTTTGATTTGGGGGGGATCTTTCTGCCCTGTGGCTTCAGTGACCCCCTCAAAGGACTGGATAGATAAGATCTTGTTAACTTCAGATGAGAAATTAATTAAGAAAATGTATAATTTTTTTTTGTTGAAAGCGAACGAGTTACAGAAACAATGATAAGATGGGCGAAAAACTTTGCCTACAACACAGAACTAGAAAAGTGGCAAAAAGTTATGGGAGAGAAATTATAAATTGACGTCAACATCGTATAAAGAAAAATTATGTTTTACAGAGGGCACTTGCCACCACCAGCAAGGTTAGCAAAAATGTTTAAAAATATGTCAGACAGATGCTGGAAATGTAAGTAGAACTCGGGCACTTATTGTCATGTTTGCTGGACATGTGGCAAAGCCAAGGTTTGCTGGAAAAAGATACGTGCTTGGTTAGAAAAAATGTTGGGAGAACATGTTGATTTTAAACCTGAACTTTTCTTATTAGGTACAATGCCAGAAAAGATTAACAAACCAAGCCTATATTTGATTTTACACGTCACAACAGCAAGAATAATTTTTGCGCAATATTGGAAAAATGAAGGATTAGCACCGGGGGAAGAATTGATCAGAAAAATATTGGAATGCGCGGAGATGGACAGATTAACTATGAGACTGAAAGATAAAGAAGGAACAGAATATTACCAACTTTGGGATTTATTTTATCAATGGCTAGAGCCACAGGTCGGCAACTGGCAACTCCGGAGCCGCATGTGGCTCTTTGAGCCTTCTGCGGCTCCCAGCCTCTTCTGCCATTTGCAGAGAGACAGAGAGAGGCACTTGAGCTCCCCCCCTCTGTGTGTGTGTGTGTAAAAAAGAGAGTGGCCTCACCCTGTTCGAGGAGCTGACAAGCTTATTGGGCGGGGCTCCTCCCTTTGCTGCCTCTCCGCAGGAAGCAGGAAGGGCAGGAGAGAGCCAGCTTGTTGGAGAACAGTTTGAAGCCAGCTTGCCAGGTGAAGAGAAGATTGGAGAGAGGGAGAGAAGGGGGGAGGAGAGAGAGGAAAGAGAGAGGGGGAGAGAGAGATGGAGAAAAAGAGAGAGGGGGAGAGGAAAGAGAAAGAAGAGAGGGAGAGGAAAGAGAGAAAAAGAGAGGAGAGGGAGGGGAAGCGCAAGTGCCTCTCTCTCTCTCTCTCTCTCTCTCTCACTCTCACACACACACACACTGAGTGGGGGAAGAGGACTGGCAGACCAAGGGCAGAAAGAGAAAGGGGGAAGGGAGGGAGAGACAGACAGACAGAGACCCTTTTGATATCTAAAATAAAGATAACACTGCATATATCCTTTTTTTACCTTTATGATATATACCTATAATAAAGGTAAAAAAGGATATATGCAATGCTATCTTCATTTTAGATATCAAAAGGGTTTTGCGGCTCCCGGTGTTTTGTTTTCGGTGGGAAATGGGTTCAAGTGGCTCTTTGAGTGTTTTGGGTTGCCTACCCCTGTGCTAGAGGAAAGAATGAAGGATTAGGAACTGAATATGTATTAAGTGTTTTTAAATCCAAACAGCACGTTGGTTGAAAAATTAATATATGTATGTAACAGAAAATTAATAAAATCTTTACTAAAAAATCCCCCACAAAGGACCAGATATAGCATGCCCAGAACGCAGAGCTCAAATTCAACCGTCTTTCCAAACGTCGCGAGCCTTACCTGGTTCCACAAAACCTTTAATGACGCCAAAAATGTTCAGGATTTTTTTCTCAACCAGGAGGTTGTTGATTCTGAGGCGCACGTTCGTTCCCGACGGAGAGGTTGCACACTTGCGAAAGATTGTGTTTTGCCATGGGGTTGGACAGTCCGATCCATCCAGGACGCTGAAAGCAGAACCGGAACTCGTTACTCAACACACTGAGGTGTGCTTCCCAACATCCTGCGACACCTTCAGGCATCTTCAAAACCACCAAGCTCCCATTTCTTATTTTGAGGAACAGGATGCAGGTGTAACCATTTGTTTAGTGACCATTCAGGGGTTGGGAAAAGTGACATAGGAGCATTTTTCACGCTGACGACCGTTCACAGCGTCCCCAGGGTGACGTGATCAAAATTCAGACGCCTGGGAATTGACCCGTATTTAAGATGGTGGCAGTGTCCCCCGGGGGGGTCACACGATCCCCTTTTTGCGACCTTTTGACAAGCAAAGTCAAAGGGGGGGGAAAGCCGGATTCACTTAACAACTGGGTTACTAACTTCACAATTGCGGAGATTTGCTTAACAACGGTGGCGAGAAAAGTCGTAAAAATGGGGCAAAATTCACTTAATGTCTCTCTCTACTCGGCAACAGAAACTTTGAGCTGAATTGTGGTCCTAGGTCAGGGGTCTTCAATCTTGGCCCTTTTATAACTGGTGGACGTCAACTCCCAGAATTCCTCAGCAAGGCACGCTGGCTGAGGAATTCTGGGAGTTGAAGTCTGCAAGTCCTGAAGGGGCCATAGTTCCCCCATGCTGGCTGAGGAATTCTGGGAGTTGAAGTCCACAAGTCATAAAGAGGCCGTAGTTCCCCCATGCTGGCTGAGGAATTCTGGGAGTTGAAGTCCACGACTCATGAGGGGGCCATAGTTCCCCCATGCTGGCTGAGGAATTCTGGGAGTGGAAGTCTGCAAGTCATAAAGAGGCCGTAGTTCCCCCACACTGACTCAGGAATTCTGGGAGTGGAAGTCCACCAGTCATGAAGGGGCCATAGTTCCCCCATGCTGGCTGAGGAATTCTGGGAGTTGAAGTCCACGAGTCATAAAAGGGCCAAGTTTGAAGACCCCTGTCCTAAGTTTTTTAACTGCTGTGTGATTTACATTCATTTACATTACATTTTTAATCTTTTTTTTTTTTTTTTGGCCTTCTGGAAAACAGAAATGATTTTGTTGCCAACAGATGGAATTTCTTCCTGACCTGAATGTTCTGGTTCTCGTGTAGAGAGGAAGAGGCAACAGTTGAAACAACGGAGCTCGGTGCCAGCGACACCCAAATCTACTTACAAGAGTTTTGCCAACTGGTGGCCAGTTACCTGATTAATTTTTGTGCGCCTGAGCGTGAAATACTCGCGACGGGGATGCCGGGCAGAGCCGAAGACTGAATGGGGGGGAACTGAGTATGGTTGAAGGAAGGAAATCCAGGGGTGTATGGGTCCCCGGTACCCAGGTGAGCCTGAAAGACAAGAACTCCCGGGAATTACCAAAAAAGGAGAAGAGATAAATTGGGAGTTTCCTTCCACGTCCTTCATGGAGCTTACACCACCGTCTCTAAAGTCTCCTTTGCTCAGTTCTGGCCTAGAGGATTTGTTTACTGGCCGTTCAAAATTACAGAGGCACTGGAAAAAGGGACACGATTTTTTCACACTTACGGCCGTTGCGACACCCCCACGCTTATATGATCAAAATTCAGACACTTGGCAGCTGACTCATACAGTAGTGGCCAAAATTGTGGAAAGCTTTTGGGAAAAGCATACAGTAGAAACGCCACCTCTGGTTGGTTACCTTTCCACCCATTTTTCTTCCAATTTCTTTATAACTGCAGCCTTCTTCACTTAATAATGCTATTTTACATCACTTTCTGGGCAACCAGTCAGCTCTTTTTTCCATGACTTTAATTTTATGATGTTTTACAAGCTCACTGAATGAAAGAACAACAACAAAAAAAAAAAACCCCAATCAGTGTTATGGTTCCGGCTAATGAAACATTTCAAAGAACTGCCAGGCATTGATTTTCCTAAAAGTCTTTTATTGTTACAAAATGTCGGCACAGGCACAAGGGAGGGATGCTAGGATCTAAGTTCTCTTCCTCTGAGCAGTTAACTCAGTGTTTCCCAAACTTGACAATTTTAAGGCATGTGGACTTCAACTCCCAGAATTCCACAGCCAGCATTGCTGGCTGTGGAATTCTGGGAGTTGAAGTCCACATGCCTTAAAATGGTCAAGGTTGAGAAACACGAGTTAAATTATCAGCATGTTTCCTCCCTAAATTAGCCCTCCTATCTCACATCATCCAATTAGTGTGAAGGTCAAATGTTTTCTTCCTCTTTCTTTCCCTGGCTTTACCCCCCACACCTGCTCTTTATTAACCCCATATTTACCAGACAATTTTGCATATTGTCAAAAGCAAGAATATGCAACATTTGCAGCGTTGACAACCAGCTTGATAGCGATCACGTTAACACACTGATCAAGGTCCTCCTCTCAGCTTCAATACATGACATCCATAACCGGATCCTACTGTGATCTGATTGGCTCATGGCCAAAACAAGATGACACCCGATTGACTGTCTAAACACTCACGCTCATTGGCTACGATCCGATGAAGGAAAGCTACCTGAGATCAACCTAAGCAAGTTGGGCTACCTTTTTCTGGTTCTTTGGCTATAACTTTTCATAGAATACAGTACAGAGAGTTGAACAAGCTTTGATGCATTACGTTCCTGATTAAATTATCTTTCCACGTTCCTGATTAAATTATCTTTCCACTGAGATAGAATTTTATGGAACTGCTCGCAAAAAAAAAAAGGTGGTGTTAATAGCCATCAGACCTCAAAAATACACTTTTCCCAAAAGGTTTCCACAATTTTGGCCACTGCTGTATTTAGCACAGTCCTGGGGTCATTTGATCGTCTTTTGAAACCTTCTGACAAGTCAATGGGGAAAAGCAGATTTTGCTTGTGTTACTAACTTAACAGCAGTGTGGCAAGGAAGATCATCCAATGGGGCAAAACTCACATTAACAACTGTCTCACTTAGCAGCAGAAACCTGGGGTCAGTCGTGGTCCTAAGTCAAGGACTGTCTGCACAACTACTTTATTTCCCTCTTTGAGCCCAAAAAAGACTTTTGTTATATTAAGACCATCACAGCCCTGAGACTTCCACTCTGAAGGATGTGATTCCCAAACAGGAGAGCGGAAAAAAGGGGGGGAAAAGCAGGCAGAAATGCTAATTCTAAGACAACCTTGGCGTGGGGTGGAGTTATTGTTTTGACTTTGTATATTGGGGTTTTTTTAAAAAATTTTGTGGTGCTTGGACACTGAAAGTGACCAACAAGCAAGTCTCTGGAGTGCATTACACTAGATGTGTCGCTGGGAGGCAAAACTCCCTTATTTTGGCTGTGTCATGGGGGGGGGGGGAGATAATTGCTTTCGCTGGAGAAAGCAATTATGTTTGGAAGAGTGAGCAGTAAAAGGAATCCAGGCCACCAAAGAACAACAGGGGCTGGATACTATCCAAGCTGACACCCACCGGAGCATCGAACAACTCAAAGAAGGAGTGCAAGATTGAAAGAGGTGGAGAGAGCAGCTGGGCCAGAGAATCACCAAGAGCTTGATATGACTGAAGAGATAACATCACCATCATCAACATTTGACAGTGTGGGTGTGCTCCAGGGGAGGGAGGGAGGGAGGGAGGGAGGGAGGGAGGAAGGAAGAAAGGAAGGAAGGAAAAGAGAAGAAAGGTAAAGAGAAGGAAAGAAGAAAGGAAGGGAGGGAGGGAGGGGCAAGGAAGGAAGGTAATGGGAAGGAAGGAAGGTAAAGAGAAGGAAAAAAGGGAGGGAGGGGCAAGGAAGGAAGGTAAAGAGAAGGAAGGAAGGAAAGAGCAAGAAAGGAAGGAAGGTAAAGAGAAAGAAGGAAGGAAGGGAGGGAGGGGCAAGGAAGGAAGGTAAAGGGAAGGAAGGAAGAAAAGAGCAAGAAAGGAAGGTAAAGAGAAGGAAGGAAGGAAAGAAGGAAGGGAGGGAGGGGGAAGGAAGGTAAAGGGAAGGAAGGAAGGTAGGTAGGTAAACAGAAGGAAAAAAGAGAGGGAGGGGCAAGGAAGGAAGGAAAGAGCAAGAAAGGAAGGAAGGTAAAGAGAAGGAAGGAAGGAATGAATGAAGGAAGAAAGGGAGGGGGGGCAAGGAAGGAAGGTAAAGGGAAGGAAGGAAGAAAAGAACAAAGGAAGGAAGGTAAAGAGAAGGAAGGAAGGAAGGAAGGAAGGAAGGAAGGAAGGAAGGAAGGAAGGGAGGGAGGGAGAAGGAAGGAAAGAAGGAAGGAAGGAAGGAAGGGAGGGAGGGAGGGAGGGAGGGAGGGAGGGAGGGGGAAGGAAGGAAGGAAGGAAGGAAGGAAGGAAGGAAGGAAGGAAGGAAGGAAGGAAGGAAGGAAGGCTGAACGCATAACATCATCAGTTTGTGTAAGCCACCTAGAATCATTCATTGAAAGGGAGTGGGCGGCCATGCTGGCTGGGGAATTCTGGGAGATGAAGTCCCCCCCCCTCTTCAAGTTGCCAAGATTGAGAAACACTGCTCTAAACAAACAAACAAACAAACAAACAAACCAGCAGGGACAAGAAGCAGCTGGAACAGCCCAATAGATAGGCAGCTGCTGGCCAGATAACAGGGGAGCCACCAAGAAACTGAGGCCTCAAGCAGAAAGTGCAAATCCCCCTTTCCCCCTTCCCCCCCTGCTTTACTCAACAGACCCACCCCTCCCAAACATCCTTAAAAGCAGGGGTGTCCAACCTTGGCCACTTTTAAAAGCTGTGGATTTTGAACTCCCAGAATTCCCCAGCCAGCGTGGCTGGCTAGGGAATTCTGGGAGTTGAAGTCCACAGCTCTAAAACGTGGCCAAGGTTTGGAGACCCCTGCTTCAAAAGATGCTTTAGAAAAGTTGACTGACACAAGAAGGGTTCAAAACTCACATGTCCAAACAGGGCCACCGTTTCTCCAAGGTTCTTGTAGTCCAAAGGATCCGGGTAGATTAACACGCCTAGAGCGCCCCGTGCCTCGGCATTGGCAACCTAAAAGGAGATAGGTGTTTGTTTTTTTTATTGAAAAGTTTTACAAAAAATTACAAAATATACCCCAAACCCACCCACCCCCCTTCCCCCAGCTGAATACAAGGTAGTAAATATAATAATCATAATTTAACTAACATTAACCAACTATATGGATAAACAAATACAATGTGCTTTAACTCTCTTTTACCACAAAGTAAACAATTTGAGAATAAGCTTAATCATATAAACAAATTAAAATCCCAATTTATAAACAATACAATATCATAAAATTTCCACTATACTAAACTATTAATAATAATAACAATATTCTAAAATTTATTCATAAAATAAATGGAACTTTTTAGTCCCATATTTATTCTGAATATAATCTATCCATTTTCTCCAAACCAAAATGTATCTTTCTTGTGAATAATCCTTCAAATAAGCAGAAGAGATAGGAGGTGTTTTTACTAGGAGGTGGAAAAGCAGCCAAGTGGTGGCACACAGTAATGAAACACAGACAAGGAAACAATCAAGCACGGGACCCCTGAGTACTGTATTAATGAAGGACAACAGAAGCGAATATTATATTCTGCCATTTATTTTGCTAGCTCTTATTTTATGGCGTTTATTTAATTCAGGGGTTTTTCCTCCCCCCGTTTTTTTTTTTAAATTTCGTTGACAATAGGACGTATTGTTAACCAAGAGAAAGGCATAGTGAGCCTCACAAAATGTGTCTTCTAGAATTTTTCTCCTTCACATCGTTTTTTTAGGTAACCTGATTGGGCAACGGAGAATACCAACTATTGGAAACGTCATCCAATTTGCTATTCAGCTGGTTTTTTCTTAACTTTTACACTCTGTTCATGTTTTGGAGAAAGAGTGTCACGTTTTCCGCTGTTCATAGCATACCAACTCTGGCGACTCGCTTGGGGCCCTCCTAGGTGCAGGCAGCCTTGAAGAAGACTCCCCCGCCTTTTAATTCTGAATTTTAACGTCAACGCTGCTAACATTGGATGTTCTTGCATTGACGACAGATGGAAATGGAGCCATCTTTTTATCTTTCGCTTTTAGAGTTAGATGATGCTGGGAAAGGGGTGTGTGTGAATGAGAGAGTCCAGCTAGACATAACAACACTAAACCTAGCGTGAGAATCAAGGTTATCGGAACCAGAAGACATAACAACACTAAACCTAGTGTGAGAATCAAGGTTATTGTAACCAGAGCTGATAAGGAATTGGCCAAGCTGCACTTCAAGCTAATTGGGGAATGTGATTTATGACGGTTAATTGGAGGAGGGAATTATGCTTTGGATACTATGTGCCCAGGGGAGGGGAATTCAGTTTTTGGCTTCCATTATGTAAGTGCCGATATTATGCTACCCAAATAAAAGATTCTTTAAGGTAAACAATGCCTCAAAGTTCTTTCGAAGAGTTTCATCTGTCGGAACCAGGACATTTAAAACATTTCATCCATGCTTTAATCCACTTTGTGTTTTAAGTACACGGTTTTTAGGTCTTATCTGTACACCGCCCAGAATCACTCTGTGAAGGAGGTCGATTGTTTCTAAACTTGGTAAACCATTTTTACCTTCTCGGCAAAAGTGATGCGGCCGGCTCTCACAACGACCACCATGCCATTCACGACGATACCTTTGTCTAGGAGGGCTTTGAAATCTTCCTTAAGGCCATAATTGGCAAAAACCGGCTTGCCCTAGAACGGAGAAGAAGCTTGGTTAGCCAACAGAGCACCGTCAAGCATTCTAAGACAGGGGTCCCCCCTCCCCAAACTATGGTCCGCAGTCCGGGATCGGGCCGTGGGCTCTTGGCCAGCGGGCTGCAGCAAATGGCTGGCCGGTGTGCACACGTGTGAAACTTTTTCTCATCTTCTTTGACGGTACCAAGCTGGGAAAAATGCCGAGCCTCGTAGGAGAGACTTACCGAAATCTCCCCGTTTTTACTGTAGGCTACAAAAGCACTGGAGGCGTCCAGGATTGTGTTTCTAGCATCGTCCAAAGAAACGACGTTTGAAGAACTAAACAAACAAACAACAACAACAAAAAACAGTAACGTGGCTTCAAAATATTGCATTTTAAAATATTTATTTCAATCGACGAGGCTGTCTATGTAAAATACTGTATATTCCACCATATAAGGCGACCCGGCGTACAAGACGACCCCCGTCTTCAGCGCCGAGTCGCATGCCTAGAAAGTCGTCTTATATGCCAGAAACTACCATTATTTCCGGCGTATAAGACGACCCCCGACTTCGGCGCCGATTTTAACGCTTGCGAAAGTCGTCATACACCGGAAAGTACGGTACATTAACTCTGGATGGCTTCCACCGATTAAAAAGCTATGCAAACAGAAAAAAATATTAGAAATTAGAAATACCCTCACTGTAGCAAACCTGGTCGTAAAGAGCAATGCCGGATGACCGGATTGCTTGCCGACACCAATCCCAACTGCCGTCATTAAGCAAGGACCATGTGGGTCACTAAGTGAAGACCACCCGTGCCAACTTCCGCAATGACTTTGACTATGGGAAGCTGGCAAGGATGTCAGTAATTGTGATCATGTAATTGTGACACCTGGACCAGCTCCCAGTAATTCTCCAGACACCATGCAATTTCCTACGCCGCCGAAGGCTGGTGCACCCCTAAACAGGAACACAGAGGAAGCACGTGCCCCTTTATTTATTCTTCTGCCTTTAGTACTTTTTACAAATCACTCAAGGAAGCAAACATATCCAACTTAACTTCCTCCTCCTATTTCCTCCATGACCACCATCCTGTGAGGTGGGTTGGGCTGAGACACAAACTGGCCCAAAATCATTTGGCTGGCTTTCACGCCTAAGGCGGGATTGGAACTCCCTGTCTCCTGGTGATTGGCCCAAAGTCACCCAACCAGCTTTCATGCCTAAGGCGGGACTAGAACTCACCATCTCCTGGTGATTGGTCTAAAGTCACCCAGCCAGCTGTCATGCCTAAGGCGGGACTAGAATTCCCCATCTCCTAGTGATTGGCCCAAAGTCACCCAACCGGCTTTCATGCCTAAGGCAGGACTAGAACTCCCCGTCTCCTGGTGATTGGCCCAAAGTTACCCAACCGGCTTTCATGCCTAAGGCGGGACTAGAATTCCCCGTCTCCTGGTGATTGGCCCAAAGTCTCCCAGCTGGCTTTCATGCTTAAGGCGGGACTAGAATTCCTCATCTCCTGCTGATTGGCCCAAAGTCTCCCAGCTGGCTTTCATGCCTAAGGCGGGACTAGAACTCCCCGTCTCCTGGTGATTGGCCCAAAGTCACCCAGCCGGCTTTCATGCCTAAATTGGTAGTTGAACTCACAATTTCTTGCTTTCTAGCCTGGTCTCTTAACCTCTAGACCAGGGGTGTCAAACTGCTGGCCCACGGGCCGGACATGTCATCCGGAAGCCGCGCCCACCCCATTGCCGGCAACAATCAAACCATCACACGACGTCGCGAGTTTGACATGTCTGCTCTCTTTCCTAAGGTGATTTATTTTTCAGGAGACTTGCTCATTAGATCGGGAATCCAAATGGCAAGGAAAGGAAGACTCCCCCCCCCCACCCTGGGAAATCTTGAATCAAACCCTCCCTACCTGGCTTGGAGACGGACATAATGCTCATCATCCCAGACTTTGTCCAACTTGTATGACTCAAACTGTTCGTGGATGTCATTGGCCAGAACCTCATCCCGTATACTGCCAGCTTCGTGACTGCCGGAGGACATCGACCTGAAAGATACGCAAATCAACCGGAAGTCAGGAGTTCTGTCAGACCCACAACTTCTCACAAACTGTTAATACCCCCTTTAGATCGCCTTGGTAACATGCCACGCTTGGACTATTGCATCCGTTTTTGGTCACCGCTATCATCTCTACAATGAGCCTAGCTCAGTGTTTCCCAAACTTGACAATTTTAAGGCATGCGGACTTCAACTCCCAGAATTCCACAGCCAGCATTGCTGGCTGTGGAATTCTGGGAGTTGAAGTCCGCATGCCTTAAAATTGTCAAGTTTGGGAAACACTGGCCTAGCTCATGGGTAGGCAACCTTGGCTCTTTTATGACTCATGGACTTCAACCCCCAGAATTCCTGAGCCAGCATGGGGGAGCTATGGCCCCTTCATGACTGGTGGACTTCAACTCCCAGAATTCCTCAGCCAGCATGGCTCAGTTTGGAAACCTCTCCCTTTCCCCTCAGCATGGCGGGCTCAGGAATTCTGGGAGTTGGAAGTCCATGAGTCATAAAAGAGCCAAGGTTGCCTACCCCTGGCTTAGCTGCAGCCATCTTTCCCCGTCTTGTTCTGGAATTGGGGATGTCTAATTCAAGGAAGAGAAGGACGAGGGGGGACATGACAGCAGCCTTCCAGTATCTCAGGGGATGCCCCAAAGAAGAGGGAGTCAAGCTGTTCTCCAAAGCCCCTGAAGGCAGGACAAGAAGCAACGGATGGAAACTAATCAAGGAGAGAAGCAACCTGGAACTAAGGAGAAACTTCCTGACAGGGAGGACAATGAATCACTGAACTTCAGAACTTGTGGGTGCTCCATCACCGGAGGCTTTTAAGAAGAGACGAGACAGCCATTTGTCTGAAATGCTATAGGGTTTCCTGCTTGAGCAAGGGGGTTGGACTAGAAGACCTTCAAGATCCCTTCCTCCCTCCCACGTAGCCAGACCCACAGCTGTCCACACGCTGAAACCTTCTTCTTCATCAGAAAAACTTTTCGAGGGGCTTTGTGGAAATCCTTACCGGATCTTGTCTTGGAATTTTGCCTTGGCGAGCCGACCGGCCAATAACTTCTTCAAGTCACCCCAGTACAGCACTGGATCGGATGGGGCGTTGTTGCTGGTTTCAGAGTATTCAGACGAATGGAAGATTCCGTCGCTCGAGGACCCGGCCCCGTTGCTACACGTCGCCACTTGTGGCATCCGGGCACGGAAACTTATGTAGCCAAACAAAAACCCTGCCGAAGGAGAGCAGTTGGAAGACGTCAGGATTTCCTGCCGGAAGACGCAGCGCTGACAAGAACAGCGCCATTCCCACACAAAGGTGCCTTTCCTAAAAGGCAGCTGGATTTCTTTGGCTTTGGTCTTAGAAACCGTTTTGCTTCTTATCCAAGAAACTTCCTCCGAAGTTAGAAGCGAAGAAGCTTTTTGGACAAGAAGCCGACGATTTTTAAGGAGAGAAAATAATAATAATAATTAAAAAAAACTCCAAGGAAGTCCAATTGCCTTTTGGGAAAAAAAAGCACCTTTGCGACGATTGAGAAACTCTGTAGACCCGTGGTTCTCAACCTTTTTAATGCCGTGACCCCCCCCAACCGGTCGTAAGTCGAGGACTACTCAACCGGTCCTAAGTCGAGGACTACTCAACTGGTGCAGCACCGTTTGCAGAATGGGACTTTTGGCGGGCTCAACAGGGCAGAGATAGCCTGGACAATTCCTATTGGCTTTTGAAAGCCAATAGAATTAGAGTCTATTCAAGAGAGTCTCTTCGATTGGCTTTCAAAAGCCAACAGAATAAAAGGGAGTAGCCCAGCTAAGGAAAAGGGGGGGGGGGGGAAATGGCGGACTGCGTTGTTTGGCGACCCCCGTGAAATGGTCGTTCGACCCCAAATGGGGTCCCGACCCACAGGTTGAGAACCACTGCTGTAGACATTGTTGAAAGGTTTTTTTAAAAATCCAAAATACAAATGAAAATAAAGACAATGGCCAATAGGGGAAAAGGGATAATGTAAGGGAAAAAAAAGAAATAAAAAGCAGCGACTTCCAACTTCTTTCAATGCGGTTCAGTTACTTAATAGAATTGTACTCTCACCTTTTTTCCTTAGTATGAAAATGGTAAATACGAGCCATTTCTGTAACAACAACCCACCTAATAACAGCACGATTCTATTGAGGACTCCACGATTATTATTTTAAAACGTTTACTAGATAGCGCTCATTTAGCAAGGCTCATGTCATGGTTCCGACTGATGAAACTCTTCAAAGAACTTCGAGGCATTGTTTACCTTAAAGAATCTTTCTTCGAGTGGCATAGCACCTACATAGTCAAAGCCAAAAACTGGATTCCCCTCCCCTGAGCACATAGTATCAACGCACAATTCCCTCCTCCAATTAACAGTCATAAATCACATTCCCCAATTAGCTTGAAATGCAGGCTTTCCCTCCTTTACTCCAACCCCGCCATTTCTTACCATCCCTTTATTTCAAAAGCCCTGAATTCACACCCTATTACAATATTGTTATGTCTAACTAACTCCCATCCCATTCCTCCTCTCCCCTCCCCTCCCCAGTATCATCTAACTCTAAGAGTAAAGCATAAGAGAGAAAAAGGCTGCATCTCCATAGGTTGTCAAAGCAAGAACATCCAGTGTTAAGCAGAGTTGACAGCTCACTGGGACCAGAATTTCCACCCCTAAGTGCAATGTCACATGACTGTGCCATTTAGCCACGGAAATTGGGGCGCTTCCAAAAGCCCTCATTACTGTGAATCGTGAAAAAACCCCCAACTGACACCACCACCACCCCCCCGCAACATCGTTAAGTGTGACATCGATGGATTGCCATTTGCAGCCTCCAGGACACAACAAATAAGGTCATAAATTACGATCATCTGCTGGCAAAACTTTATAACCCTGGTAAGGGCAATCCAGTTGCTGATCCCACAACTACCACCCTTATAAGTAGGAGGACTTGGGGGGGGGGTTATCAGAGTATTCAGACGAATATTGTAAGTTGGAACGGTCCCCGAGCAAGTGGTTGTTAAGTGAGGACTACCTGTATATGAAAAAGGAAGGCGTTTTATGGACAAAGGTTCATTTGTTCTTGGGGGGGGGTGCATTGGTAGCTGTGGGGCCCTTGGCGCTTTCTCTGAGCGTGGCTTTCTTGCAGACCTTTCATAGCCCAACTAGATAGCATCATCAGTGCTAGGAGGAGGAGGAAGGGAAGGAAGACTATGGGCTCCTTGGTGCTTTCTGAGCTTGGTGGTCTCCATTACAGTTCCTCAGCCCCCAGCCCTGCCCCTGTTCCCCCTCACCTATCAGGAAGAGCAGGGCCGCCCCTCCGCAGGCGCAGCACAGGTGCCGGTGGCTTCGGGCTTTGCCGATCCTGGGGGGGAGGTGGTCGATCACGCCGTTTTCTCCGCCTTCCTCTTCCTCGGCGGAGAGCTTCATCTCCACGTGGCTGCTGTCCCCGTCCGGCTGCCGGGCCAGGCTGAAGCGGGTGTACGAGAGGGGCTCTGCCCCGAACTAGACAACAGGAGATGCCATGGCAGGAGAATGAGAAAAAGGTCGCCCTTCCTTGCACAAAAGGGCACCAGCCTAGCTAAGCAGGAAGGCCTTGACTTACGGCCAACAACGGGATCCAGAATTTGCACTGCTAAGCAAGACGGTCGCTCAAATTCCCTCCCCCCCACCCCGTTGTTCAGATCGAGAGAGACCCTTCTGAAGATGCGCCCCGTTGTCAGAGGTTTGACACACTTGGGGCGTACACTCCCTAGGCAGAGAGGTGCACCTGGCTCCCTCTTTCAGCATTTAGGATGCTGGTGAATAATCATCTCTTCCCTCAAGATTTAAATCTTAAAATTGTATACATAAATTGTGTAATTTGTATGTTGTTGTTTTTTTTAAAGCCAGATGTTCTGGTCTTGTTCAGTTTCTTGATTAGCCCAAAGTCATCCAGCTGGCTTTCGTGGGAATAGAACTCACTGTCTCCTGGTGATTGGCCCGCAGTCACTTAGCCAGCTTTCATGGCTAAGGTGGGACTAGAACTCCCCACCTCCTGGTGAGTGGCCCAAAGTCAACCAACCAGCTTTCATGGCTAAAGTGGGACTAGAACTGCCCATTTCTGGTGATTGGCCCACAGTCACCCAGCCGGCTTTCATGGCTAAGGTGGGACTAGAATTCCCCGTCTCCTGGTGATTTGCCCATAGTCACCCAGCCAGCTTTCATGGCTAAGGTGGGACTAGAATTCCCCGTCTCCTGGGGATTGGCCCACAGTCACCCAGCCAGCTTTCATGGCTAAGGTGGGACTAGAACTCACTGTCTCCTGGCGATTTGCCCATAGTCACCCAGCCAGCTTTCATGGCTAAGGTGGGACTAGAATTCCCCGTCTCCTGGGGATTGGCCCACAGTCACCCAGCCGGCTTTCATGGCTAAGGTGGGACTAGAACTCACTGTCTCCTGGTGATTTGCCCATAGTCACCCAGCCAGCTTTCATGGCTAAGGTGGGACTAGAATTCCCCGTCTCCTGGGGATTGGCCCACAGTCACCCAGCCAGCTTTCATGGCTAAGGTGGAACTAGAACTCCCCACCTCCTGGTGAGTGGCCCAAAGTCAACCAACCAGCTTTCATGGCTAAAGTGGGACTAGAACTGCCCATTTCTGGTGATTGGCCCACAGTCACCCAGCCAGCTTTCATGGCTAAGGTGGAACTAGAACTCACTGTCTCCTGGTGATTTGCCCATAGTCACCCAGCCAGCTTTCATGGCTAAGGTGGGACTAGAATTCCCCGTCTCCTGGGGATTGGCCCACAGTCACTTAGCCAGCTTTCATGGCTAAGGTGGGACTAGAACTCACTGTCTCCTGGTGATTGGCCCAAAGTCACCTAGCCGGCTTTCATAGCTAAGAGAGGACCAGAACTCAAGTGTTTCCTAGTTTTTAGCCTGGTACTTTCACCACTAGAACAAACCACAGTCTCTCCTTATTTTATCTTTCTGTCGTGCTGGTGGAGGCAGAGGGGCGGAAATTCTTTCTTCACACATTTCAACAGCCCTGGAATCAAGCTGGCGTTAAAGTCAGAGATTGCCTCATTCTTCCGTTGGCTGCCTGGAGGGCTTGTCAAGGGATCGCTAACTACACTGTGGGCTGACATGCTCTCAGCTAGCTTCCTGTGGGAGTTTAAAAAACCGGCAGACCGAGTTTGCAGGTTAGCCAATACAGATCCAGTAATTGGAAGCAAACGGTAAAACAAAGTGGGGCCACCTGCAAATGAAGGAACCTCTTGATTTGCACATGGTCCTGGAGTTACAACAGCCAAGTGGGCGTGGGATTTCCTCCGTAGGCAAAAATGTGAAATACCATGTCGTTGCTGTTGTTAAGCGGGCATCGTGGATCATTCAGCAGGCACCTCCTTGAAACTTCCAGCCGGCTTCCAACAACCAAAGTCAGTGGGGAAGCCAGTGAAAAGGCCTTGCAGGTAATAGTAATAATCATAATAATAAAGTTGGAAGGGACCTTGTAGGTCATCTAGTCTAACCCTCGGCTCAGGCAGGAAACCCTATACCATTTCAGACAAAGGGCTGTCCAGTCTCTTCTTAAAAACTTCCAGTATTGGAGAAGGAAGGAAGAGGGGGGGGGAGGGAAGGAAGGAAGAATAACAGAGTCGGAAGGGATCTTGGAGGTCATCTAGTCCAACCCCCTGCTCAGGGAGGAAATCCTATACCATTTCAGACAAAGGGCTGTCCAGTCTCTTCTTAAAAACTTCCAGTATTGGACAAGGAAGGAAGAGAGGGAAGGAAGAATAATAGAGTCGGAAGGGATCTTGGAGGTCATCTAGTCCAACCCTCTGCTCAGGCAGGAAACCCTATACCATTTCAGACAAAGGGCTGTCCAGTCTCTTCTTAAAAACTTCCAGTATTGGAGGGAGGGAGGGAGAATAATAGAGTCGGAAGGGACCTTGGAGGTCATTTAGTCCAACCCCCTGCTCAGGCAGGAAACCCTGTAGCATTCGAGATAAATGGCTGTCCAGTCTCTTCTTAAAAACTTCTAGGGTTGGAGCATTCACAACTTCTGGAGGCAGGTTGTTCCACTGGTTAACTGGGTGGGTAGGCGGGTAAGAGGCTACTGCTGGGTGGGAGAGGGCTCAGGGGGGTGTACAGGGGGCGGAGAAGGGGCACCCCGAGTACAGTCAGGTTTGGAGCGCTAATGCCAGATGAGAGAGGGTGCATGGGTGTTCTGACAGTGAAATCAATCAACCAATGGAACGACTTGCCTCCAGACGTTGTGGCTGCTCTAAACCAGGGGGTCCCCAACCCCCGGTCCATAAATCGGCACTTGGGGACCTCTGCTTCTAAACACTGGAGGCTTTTAAGAAGGGACTGGTCCACCATCTGTCTGAAATGGTGTAGGGTCTCTTGCGCGAGCAGGGAGCTGGACTAGAAGACCTCCGAGGTCCCTTCCAACTCAGTTTGTTAAATAACAGTATCTAACCAAATGAAATTCAAGGGTGAAAAAAGCAAGGTTCTACATTTAGGAAAGAAAAACCAAATGCACAGGTACAGTATAGGGGGTACCTTGCTCAATAGTAACAACTGTGAGAGGGACCTAGTGGACAATCCCTTAAATAGGAGCCAGCCATGTGCTGCAGCTGCCAAAAAGGCCAACACAGTGCTAGGCTGCATTAACAGAGGGATAGAATCAAGAGCACGTGAAGAGTTAATACCACTTTACAAGGCCTTGGTAAGGCCACACTTGGAATACGGCATCCAGTTTTGGTCACCACGATGTAAAAAAGATGTTGAGACTCTAGAAACTGTGCAGAGAAGAGCAACAAAGAGGATCAGGGGACTGGAGGCTAAAACATATAAGGAACGGCTGCTGGAATTGGGTATGTCTGATTTAATGAAGAGAAGGAGGAGGGGGGACATGATAGCAGCCTTCCAGTATCTCAGGGGCTGCCCCAAAGAAGAGGGAGCCAAGCTATTCTCCAAAGCGCCTGAAGGCAGGACAAGAAGCAAAGGATGGAAACTCATCAAGGAGAGAAGCAACCTGGAACTAAGGAGAAACTTCCTGACAGTCAGAACAATTAACCAGTGGAACCACCTGCCTCCAGAAGCGGTGAATGCTCCAACACTGGATGTTTTTAAGAAGAGACTGGACAGCCCTTTGTCTGAAATGGTATAAGGTTTCCTGCCTGAGCAGGGGGTTGGACTAGATGACCTCCAAGGTCCCTTCCAACTTTACTGTTATTATTATTATAATTATATTATTATTATATGAGCACAGCGAGGTTTGGGGAGGGTATGCAGGCAGCTCCTTGGGCGCAGGGGGGTTGGAGAAAAGTGCATGGGGTGGGCTTCTCCAACAACCTACTGCCTCCCCACTGACTTTGCTTGCGGGTCAGCAGGGAAGGCTTCCAATTAAAAACACACGATCATGTACGTTACCACTGTCGTAAGTGCCAGCCAGTTGCCAAGTGCCCAGATTGCGATCATGTGACTGTGGAAACGTTGAGACGGTCAGAACTTGGAGGACCAATTATAACCACTATTGTACTTTAAACCAGAGGTGCCCCCAACCTTTCGGGCACCAGGGACCAGTTACATGAAAAGAGGTTTTTCCATGGACCGGAGGGGGCGTGGTTTTGTATGCTGCCTGCATCCCGCTGATGGGGCTTTGCTTGTTTGTGCGGCCCGATACTGGTCCACAGACTGGGGATTGGGGACCCCTGCTTTAAACAGTCACTGAACAAGTGGTGGCTAACCAAGGACTGTCTACAGCAGGAGTCTTCAAACTTGGCCCTTTTATGACTTGTGGACTTCAACTCCCAGAATTCCTCAGCCATAGTTTCCCCCATGCTGGCTCAGGAATTCTGGGAGTTGAAATCCAGAAGTCATAAAGGGGCCATAGTTCCCCTACGCTGGCTCAGGAATTCTGGGAGTTGAAGTCCACTAGTCATGAAGGGGCCATAGTTCCCCCATGCTGGCTGAGGAATTCTGGGAGTTGAAGTCCACAAGTCATGAAGGGGCCATAGTTCCCCCATGCTGGCTGAGGAATTCTGGGAGTTCAAGTCCACGAGTCATGAAGGGGCCATAGTTCCCCCCATGCTGGCTGAGGAATTCTGGGAGTTGGAGTCCACAAGTCATGAAGGGGCCATAGTTCCCCCATGCTGGCTGAGGAATTCTGGGAGTTGAAATCCAGAAGTCATAAAGGGGCCATAGTTCCCCTACGCTGGCTCAGGAATTCTGGGAGTTGAAGTCCACTAGTCATGAAGGGGCCATAGTTCCCCCATGCTGGCTGAGGAATTCTGGGAGTTGAAGTCCACAAGTCATGAAGGGGCCATAGTTCCCCCATGCTGGCTGAGGAATTCTGGGAGTTCAAGTCCACGAGTCATGAAGGGGCCATAGTTCCCCCCATGCTGGCTGAGGAATTCTGGGAGTTGGAGTCCACAAGTCATGAAGGGGCCATAGTTCCCCCATGCTGGCTGAGGAATTCTGGGAATTGAAGTCCACAAGTCATGAAGGGGCCATAGTTCCCCCATGCTGGCTCAGGAATTCTGGGAGTTCAAGTCCACGAGTCATGAAGGGGCCATAGTTCCCCCCATGCTGGCTGAGGAATTCTGGGAGTTGGAGTCCACAAGTCATGAAGGGGCCATAGTTCCCCCATGCTGGCTGAGGAATTCTGGGAATTGAAGTCCACAAGTCATGAAGGGGCCATAGTTCCCCCATGCTGGCTGAGGAATTCTGGGAGTTGAAGTCCACAAGTCATGAAGGGGCCATAGTTCCCCCATGCTGGCTGAGGAATTCTGGGAATTGAAGCCCACAAGTCATAAAAGGGCCAAGTTTGAAGACCCCTGCTCTACAGCAATGGGTTGAAAACAAAGGACAGATGGGGCTAAACCACGTTAACAACAGACAGTTTCATTCTAATCTTACTCAGGCATATTCATTCTAATAAATACAACGTCCTTACCACGTTAAATATTGTTTTCCTGGCGTGATTCATAATTCCAGATTCCTCCAGCTGCTTAACCGGAACCTAGAAGTCAGAAAACACAGTTAACTTAGCAACGTTTCATTGGCATGAAAACAAATTTACAATGGGTACAGCTGCCAGGCCTTCTAGAAATTATTACAATTTGTGTAACAATGCGTGTTTATGTGATGGTTGCGAACAGGGTACAAGCTGTACTGCATACCTGTACATTAGATTACAATGAATGAAAGTTTGATGCACAACTTGTACACTAGATTACATGAAGGCGAAGGCATATAAAGCAAGTTTGCAGGAATTTGGGTGTGTCTAATGAAAAGGACTAAAGTTGACAGGACAATATTTGAGGGGCTGCCACAAAAAAAGAGGGGGTCCACCTATTCTCCAAAGCACCTGAAGAAGACAGGACAAGAAGCAACGGATGGAAACTGATCAAAGAAAGAAGCAACCTAGAATTAAGGAGGAATTTCCTGACAGTGAGAACAATTCACCAGTGGAACAACCTGCCTCTAGAAGTTGTGGGTGCTCCATCACTGGAGGTTTTTAAGAAGAGATTGGACAACTATTTGTCTGGAATGGTATAGAGTAGGGGTCCCCAATGCCCGGTCCATGGACCGGTACTGGGCCGTGGCATGCCAGCAACCGGTCCACACAAACAAGCTAAGCCCTATCCACGGGATGCAGACAGCACATAAACCCACGCACTGTCCGGTCCGTGGAAAAAAACATTTCTCCACGGAACCGGTCCCTGGTGTCCAAAAGGTTGGGGACCCCTGGTATAGGGTCTCCTGCCTGAGCAGGGGAGTTGGACTAGGTCCCCAACCTTTTGGGCACCAGGGACCGGTTCCGTAGAAAGAGCTTTTTCCATGGCCCGGAGGGTGCGTGGTTTTGTGTGCTGCCTGCGTCTCGTGGATGGGGCTTTGCTTGTTTGTGCGGACCGGTTACTGGCAGGCCACAGGCCGGTACCGGTCCACAGACCGGGGATTGGGAACCTCTGAACTAGAAGACCTCCAAGGTCCCTTCCAACGCTGTTATTTTGTTTAATGGTATTAGAACACGGCATCTATTCTCCACAGAGATGCGGCAACCACACCCAGCTGCTCTTTGCAGTTACTGCATTATCGATGAATAATGCGGTTTCCAGGACTTAGCTGGAATTATCGTGTTCAGTGTCGTAGCTAGGCTTACTGACATTCTGCTAACAATAATTGCCAGAAAGCAGAACGCTCCTGCAGCCAGCACCACCCTTCTCGAGGTGAGAGGCAGAACACAAGACCCGACCCAGAGAAATTAATCAAAACTTTTAAGGGGGCAGACATGTTCTTGTACTCCAGGACAGGAATGCCAACAAAGGGGCTTTTTTTGGAAGGACTGAGAAGTCTAAGCATGAGGCTTCGAGTGCCTTAGGCCAGTGTTTCTCAACCTTGACAATTTTAAGGCATGTGGACTTCAACTCCCAGAATTCCACAGCCAGCAATGCTGGCTGTGGAATTCTGGAAGTTGAAGTCCACATGCCTTAAAATTGTCAAGGTTGAGAAACACTGCCTTAGGCACACGTAGTCCTCAATTTACAATGTACGTTTGGTGACCCTTCAAGCTTGTGCAAAGTGCCTTACAACCGTTTTTCATACTTAACGACCGTTGCGACATCCCCATGGTCACGTGATCAAAGTTCAGCCGGTTGGCAACGGACTCGTATTTATGACGGTCGCAGTATCCCGGGGTCACGTGATTCCTTTTGTGATCTTCTGACCAGTAAAGTCAATGGGGAAAGCTGGATTCACTTTACAGCCATTCTACTAGCTCAGGGGTCTTCAAACTTGGCCCTTTTATGACTAATGGACTTCAACTCCCAGAATTCCACAATCAGGCATGCTGGTTGAGGAATTCTGGGAGTTGAAGTCCGCAAGTCATGAAGGGCCACAGTTCCCCCATGCTGGCTGAGGAATTCTGGGAGTTGAAGTCCATGAGTCATTAAGGGGGCCATAGTTCCCCCATGCTGGCTGAGGAATTCTGGGAGTTGAAGTCCGGAAGTCAGAAAAGGGCCAGGTTTGAAGACCCCTGTACTAGCTTAATGACTGCAGTGATTCAGTTAACAACTGTGGCAAAAAAAAAGGCTGTAAAACGGGGAAAAAAACTCACTTAGCAAACATGTCAGTTAACAGGCACTTTGGGCTCAATTATGGTCGTAAGTTGAGGACCACCTTATAGTGGAGGTGGCCGTCAGCAAAAATCTACATTTATTAAATAGCTCTAAATTGCATTTTCCATTGTAATTTGTACAGAAACTTAGAAAGCCGAGCAGCTGTGAGTCCAAACGTACAGAGACGTATTTCCCACAAACTGTCCTAAACAGGAAATATATCAAAAAATCAACAGAAATGTAGGCTTGGGATTAAAAGATCTAGACAAAAGCAGGATTAGCACTAGAAACAGAGCAGTTGAGAACAAACACGCATGCACGCCCATTTCCCATCTCAGACGCAGCATTTCAAGGCATCCAGCCAGCTGAGAACTATCAAGATGGCTCAGAACACAAATTGCTTTTAAATTTAAACCATAGAATCAGGATCACTCTGAAATGTTAATACCAATTTACAAGGCCTTGGTAAGACCACACCTGGCATCCAGTTTTGGTCACCACGATGTAAAACAGATGTTGACACTCTGGAAAGAGTGCAGAGAAGAGCAACGAAGAAGATCGGGGACTGGAGGCTAAAACATATAAGGAACGGTTGCTGGAATTGGATATGTCTACTTTAATGAAGAGAAGGACGAGGGGGGACATGATAGCAGCCTTCCAGTATCTCAGGGGCTGCCCCAAAGAAGAGGAAGTCAAGCTATTCTCCAAAGCGCCTGAAGGCAGGACAAGAAGCAAAGGATGGAAACTCATCAAGGAGAGAAGCAACCTGGAACTAAGGAGAACCTTCCTGACAGTTAGAACAATTAACCAGTGGAACAACCTGCTGCCAGAAATGGTGAATATTCCAACACTGGACGTTTTTAAGAAGAGACTGGACAGCCATTTGTCCGAAATGGTGTAGGGTTTCCTGCCTGAGCAGGGGGTTGGACTAGCTGACCACCAAAGTCCCTTCCAACTTTATTATATTATTAAATTGCAATTATATCATCTCACAGTGTGCCTTAGGCAAACAGCGACAATTTATGTCTCTTTGCTTCCCTTTCCTTAACGCTCATTAGACAGCAATATACAGGTAATCTTTATAACCACAGTCCAGCCCAACCTTTCTATTGCTAAGCTAATTTTTAAGCGAGTTCTGCCCCGTTCTGTAACTTTTCCTTTGGCCACAGTTAAGTGAAAACACTGCAGTTGCGTATTTAGAGTCGATGTAATGAAGAGTATTTTGCAGTTGAACAAGAAGTTGCATGGCTACGATAGAAATCTTAATCCTTGGCATGCTCTTGGGTGCCTGCACATGTTCTGGCTAGAACAGATTAACCGCTTCAAGGAAAACTGGATGTTTTGTGGATAACTTGGGCTGCTCTGCAGGAGATAAGCGGCAAATCAGACCCCGCCTTTCGGGAGAAGATAGGAAGCAAATGTTAACAGAGAGGCCGCCTAGTACTTCACAGCATAAAAGCTGAATAAATAAAAATGGAAGAGACTCTTTTGTTGTAATAAGCTCTTCCGATTTATCTTTACTTACTGGAACGCATCAAAAAGCTTCACGCTTGTGGGGGTCTTCCTTAATTATCTGAACAAGAAAGAAACGTAAAATTACTGCTTTCTGAGGAAGCGGCAAAGTGGCTCTTTCTATTTCCCCTCGATTATTAGCGAAAATAAGGAACTATATTTGCATTTAAACAAATAAGGAAAAAAAAGTGTTCGTGGATCACTGACCAGTCTGTGAAAAATTATCTTTGATAATGGCTGTGGTTTTTTTTTTTTATACAAGTCACCTATGCAGAAAGGAAATGGTTACCGCTTGAACATCGTAAGATGTGCAGCTACACTTATTCAAATACTTCACATTTGTAAAAGAATTACTGAAGCTGGCTTAATCTATCCAGTTTAAAGGACTGTTGCAACAATTAGAAGTTAATCTTCAGTTGGGTAAGCATGTAGATAAAGTCATTTCAGGAAAGGAAAAAGAACACAGGAGAAAGAGAGAATCCTACGCACCTCAAAATATTAAAAAAGTTTTCAATATCTTTTAAGCCCAACCAAAGGTCTTTCCCACACACATTGATGCCTTTATCTGCTCTATACAAGCACCCAAATTATGATCTGACATTTGAGAGCAGCTGTCTAAAAACCTGACAGAAAGGGCAGATGAACAGGTTCAGCTGAGCTTCTATTCAAATTTTCTAAATTCAAACACGATATCGTCTAACAAAATCGTTTACAAATCTTTAAAAGCAAATGCGTTTTACCCATGCAGGGCTTTCTAATACTGTACTAACCTGCCCAAATTGTCCTTTGTTTTAATACAAGTTTAACAAAATACAAAAAAGTCTATCTGATTGCATTTGTGGCATACTTATAAAACTGTTAAAATAAAAAGCACAAAATTCTGTCGATAAAACTTTACTATTGTGTTAGGACCCAAGAAAGCATACTCAATAGCATTTTTAAACATATCTGGGGTATGTGTGTGTGTGTGTATACACCACATATGTAGCATTTATGCTACTTCCTCCATAGGTTCTAAAGCAATTTACTTCCTCCATGTTTTAAAGTAATGTTACCAGTTGGTAACAGGTAAAGATATCTTTACAGGTAAAGATAAATTTCCTAAAGGGGAGACATAAACTAACAAGTCTCATGTGCAGATCTATTTGTTATGTTTGTTAAATTAGAGTCCGCCCTACAACGCCGTCTTCAACTCCAGAATTGACACTGAATTCTATTTTCCATTCAAGTGTTATCAAGTGCATATAAGGAAAACCAGCTTCTCCCATGTGTGGAACTAGTCTTAGCAATGATTAAAAAGGAAAATTAAGGTTATAGTGGACAACTCAAGTGCTGACTCAGGAAGCAGTCACTGGAAAAGGCAAGCAACATGATGGAAAGAATAAGGAAAGGAATAAAACTAAAATTGCTATTTACAGTTTGCTATATTTTTAGCCATAATTATTAAGAGTTTGGGCAAACCCCCTCAAGCAAATCCCTTAGGAAGAACACCGCAGGGGGAGTCATTCATAGCTTTAAAAAAAATCTTAAATTGTTTTCTTTTACAAGGAAATATACATAGGCACATAGCAAGAAACAGTTCCTAAAATATTATAAACCAAGACAAAAGTCCTTCATTCTGATTAGAAACAAACTGATCTTTAAAAACATTCTAACATTAAAAAGGAGGGGGGGGGCACAGAATACCAAAGATGTAGTTAGATTTTTAAAATTATCCCAAAGATGCTTTTTCAAGAGGCAACTGGACTTTTGTCATTTTTTGAAATTAGTTTTTTTATAATGTAATGTAAACTTGACATAAATTAGTTCATTTTATAATTAACTTGATGGGGTTTAGTTTTTCATCCCCTTCATTATTTATATAAATAACTCAAGGTTGAAAACGTATCTAATGCGCCTCCCTCCCATTTTTCCCACAACAAGCCAGCAAGGTAGGTTAGAGGTTGAGACCAAGGGACTGGCCCCAAAGTCACTTAACCAGCTTTCATGCCTAAGGCAGGATTAGAACTCAGAGTTTCCTGGTTCCTGGCCTGAGGGAACAATGAAAGTGGCTCTCAAACTCTTTTCAAGTATATAAACCATGGCTGGAAAACCCAACAATGTTAATCTATTCAGCAAAACCATAAGCTATGACTGCAATTAAGTTGCAGCAAACGCCAAAGCCTAGTGCTAATTAACAGCTAAAGGCTTCTTTCTCTCCTCTAAGCCATTAAAAGCAATTCCAGGATTTTAACTCCACCTAGCCAGCACCAGCAAGCATCCCAAACCCCCCCCCCCCCCGCTAAGTTTAAAAGCGAGCCATTCACTCGGGTCTCCAGAGATGGGCTGTCAAGAAATTGGGAGTCTAATTTCTGCATCATCCATCAGAGGACTAAGAGGTCACCGCAAGCTATGAGCCATTATGGCAGGAGAGGAAATTTAACTTTTAAAAGCACCACAAGCCACTGGAGCAACCATGTGGCTCAGGAAGGAGCTTGAGCCTCAATGTCACAGCAAGGAAAGCAAAGGCAGGTTCCCACAACACGCCTGAATCCAACCCAAGTTTTAATCAACCCAGGATATAGCTCCAAAAAGTGTTTTTTCCCTAGGGTTAGGTGGCACAAAGCAGCATTCTGGGCACTTCTACACCGTTATATTAATGCTTTATGCCAAGGGCGTCCAATTTTGGCAACTTTCAAAACCTGGGGGACTCCAACTCCTAGAATCCCCCCAGCCTGGGGGATTCTGGGAGTTGGAGTCCCCAGGGCTTCAAAGATTGCCAAGGTTGCTTTATGCCACTGCAAGCCGCCCAGAGACACGTTGCACAGCATATAAATTGAGCCTATAATATAAATTAGGCGCTTGTCATATATATTTAGGTGCTTCCTGGGGTGGGGGAAGGTCTCGCTCGTGGAAGGGAGAGGAGCGGCAACTGGGTGTCCCCGGGCTCACCCTCCTCCAAGGTGAGGACGCAGCTGAGCCACGTGCTCTCCAAAGCACGTGGCGGTCAGCCAAGCGCTCCACGAGAGGCCTGTCTTCTTTCTGGTCAGTCTTGGGGTAGGAGCTCTTCTTGAAGAGACGACCCCCCCCCTCCCGGCGTCCAAAATGGCCTCTCCAGGAGCACATGGGGCAAGGCCGCTCCAGGGCTTTGCAGCTGCTTCGCTTCCTTCGCTCCCCCTATCCAGGCTGGTCCTTTACACGCCTTGCAGCAAAAAAGGAGACATGCAATGCAGGCATGCTTGCATTCGGACGTGCACGCATGCCAAAAAGCCTTCCCCCCCCCTCCTCCTCCTCCTCAGCGCGCGGTGTTTCACCTTCCCCGGCCGGTTCTTCCCCGCGAAGGACAACGCGCTCCCTCGGCGGCCTACGTGACACCAGCAGGCCCCGCCCTAACCCGCAGGCCCCGCCCTTGCGTAACCTCACCCGTAGCAGCGAGACGAACACCCTCCACTGTGCTCCCTCCACTGCACGCGAACCTCGGTGCGGCGCGCACATATAAGCGATAGCGTCAGCCAATCAGAGCGCCGCCTTTGCCGCTCGCGCCAAACGCCTGTCGCTGGTTGGCGGCAGCCTCCGCGCCCCCTTCTCCAACCCCCCTCACCCGCCGGCAGCTTCCACGCGGAGGGCGGGACTGCTAGGATTGGCATCCAGCCGGCCAATCGGTCACCTTGAGGGGGTAATTAGGGCGTCTCATTTCGCCGCTCGCGCCTCCGCGCCCTCTTCTCCAAACCCCCGGGGTGTGGGGGGGGGTTCCATGGAGGGGGCGGGACTATTAGGATTGGCAGCCTGCCGGCCTATCGGTCTCGCTGACGAGTGGGCGCTGGGAGCGGGTACTACGAGGGAAGATTAGATCTAAACCTCACGTTCAGAAATATAACGTCAGAATGACACATGGGCACACGTGGGTCACGGCTCCAGCGTGTCTGAGATGGGAGGGAACCAGATGAGGCGAGAAACGCGGGATAGAAATCACCTCAGGCCCAAGAAGGCTTCCTTCACGAAAAAGGACGGCTTCGTCTCGTTTGGCATTCCAGTCGGCCAATCAGGAGGCGGGAGGAGGCCTTTGACGGTTGGGGAAGTGGGCGGAGCAAAGCAAAAAGGCGGGAAATACTCCCAGGCGGGAGGGAGATCATTCAATATGTCGATACACCATTTTTTTTAGTCTGAAAAAAAAAGGGTTTTTATAGAAGCAGACATGAAATGCCTCACCAGCTGCAAAAACCAAACGTGCAGCTGCACAAAGTAACTAATTAAAAGCTGGGAGGGACACACAAACAGAGGAATGAGCTGCCGTTCATTAAAGAGCCAGTGATTAAACATTCCCGATTGCAAAAGACCCATGATGTCTCTAATGGCTGCCTTCTTTTTAATCTCAATTAAATTAAAAGTTGGAAAATTCCCAGCCAGCTGGAGCCCCATGGGAAGTGCAACAAAGTTTCTGTCAATTATAAGATGTGTGGACTCCAACTCCCAGAATTCCCCAGCCAGCCATGCTGGCTGGGGAATTCTGGGAGTTGAAGTCCACAACTTAAAATTGCCAAAGGCGGATACCCCTATTCTAAACACAAAAACCTGGAGGCCCAATTAGCAGAGAAACAGAACATCATCCCCCCCCTCTTTACAGGATCAAGGAGAAACAACTTTGGGGGGAGGAAAACACACACAAACACACTTTCAAACAAACTCTTGGCAAGGTGACTCGCGAAGGTCTCGCAATTAAGGCGCCACAAGGTTACACATCAGGGCTTGCTTTTCCAATCTTTGTTTGCACTAAGCAACCAAATATTTGGACCCAGCCCTTCCATTGAAAATTTACTCAGAAACCCTGTGGGTCACAAACAGCTCTGGCGCCTGCTGTTTACGAGAAAATGGACGTATACGTGCCGGCCAGAGAGGTGTGCAATATTAGGATTAAAAAAATGGACAAGGGTGCCTTGGATCCAAATATTGCATATCTCTGTTTGGCTTCAGGCAGCACGTATAACCAGGTCAATCATAAACTCAGTCCCTGCATTCGTATCACATGCTCAGTGGGCTTTTGGCGAGTATTATTATTATTATTTTTTCCTCGTTCAGCATGTGGTGCAAAAACAAACTCAGCCTAGATGTTTCTGACTGAGGACGTCTTGGGGGAACCCCAGAAATTAATTCCTTAGGATAAACGGGACAGGTTGTTGAAGGAAAAGTCTTCAACATGGTTCAGTCCAAGCTGGGAATAAACAAGATGGCGACTGCTTTAGAAAGTTTATTGAAGAGGAGAGCCATCTTTCTGTCTGCTTCTCTTCTTCAATAAACTGCAACCTTCTTTCTAAAGCAGTCGCCATGTTGTTTATTCCCGGCTTGGACTGAACCATGATGAAAAATTGTTGAAGGAAAAGTCTTCATCAGGGTGGTGTGAATGCAGGGTGAAACAATCTTGGCTTTTGTCAGCGTTCATGTAATTACAGCACAGTTGGCTGGGGAATTCTGGGAGTTGAAGTCCATCTTACAGTGGGCAAGGTGGAGAAACACGGGCCTAGGCTTCCTTAAGCAGGCTCAGGCCTTTAAAACTCTTTCAGGCACATTTATTCAGCAAGCAGGAACTGAGCAACTGAAAGTTGCTATTAATTGAAACCCAGTTTAAGAGAAGTGAAAGAGGAAGGACCATCACAACCACAATAATAGTATGGGAAAAAGGCCTCATCTAGCACGTGCAATTAGCCATGCGCAGGTGAAAAAGAGAACCCTTAAGACTAAAAGAAAAAAGAAAAAAAAAATTGGGAAAAATTTCCCCTTTTTTATTGCTAAGAAAATTGCCGGGGCTTTTCCTGATTATACAAAGGTGAGTCTGATCATCTGAGACCACCCAATTTCCTGCACAATAATAATAATAAAAAACTAGGTGCTTTTCTGCTAACTGCAAAGAAACTGTAAATAGCAGTTAAAGTCTTAATCGGAAGCCCAGGAAAATCCCTGCTTAATTGCTCCACTGATTAAGCTGTAGCTTTGTTATTTTTTTTCTCTCTTTTCTCCCTCTTCCCCACACCTTAATTTTTTAAAAAACTTTTCAGTATAACAGCCATCGGGATATAGGTGGTCCGTGACTTAATAACACAATTCAGACCAACATTTCCATTACTAAGCTTACTACTTGTCAGAAAGTTGCAAAAGGGGGTCACATGACCCCGGGAGACGCTGCAACCGTCATAAATACGTGTCAGTTACCAAGTGTCCGGATTTTGATTACGTGACCATGGGGATGCTGCAACGGTCATAAGTATGAAAAATGGTCGTAAGTCATCTTTTTTAAACGCCTTTATACCTTTGAATGGTCTCCTTTTGCAACCTTTGGGCAAGCAAAGTCAATGGGGAAGCCAGCTTCAGTTAACAACCCCTGTTACTAACTTAACAAATGCAGTGATTCACCTAACAGACATGGCAAGAAAAGGTCGTAAAATGGGGCAAAACTCACTTAACAACTTTCTGGCTTAGCCTGGAAATGTTCTGCTCTGTTGTGGTTGTAAGTGGAGGGATAGCTGTATTCCGTGGAGACAAAAGGTTGAAGAAATGTCAGGGAGTCCTCAAGTTATGACCATGATGGAATCTGAAATTTCTGTCGCTACGTGAGACGGTTGTTCAGTGAGTTTTGCCCCATTTTACGACCTTTCTTGCCACGCTTGTTAAGCGAAACATTGCCTTCGTGAGATGGCTGTTCAGCGGATCTGGATTGCCCCACTAAGTTTGCATGTCGGAACGAGATCGGATGACTCCCTGCAACCGTCATAAATTAGAGTCTGTCACCTATCGCCTGGATTTTGATCACGCAGCCATGGGGATGCTGCAACGGTTGCCAGTGTGAAAAACGGTCATAACTCCCTTTTCATACCATGTCACTTTTTTTTTCCAGTGCCGTTGTAACTTTCAACGGTCACTAAATGACCTGTCGTAAGCTGAGGACTATCTGCACTTACAGATGGGGCTCATTGGGGCCTGCTTTTGCTCCAGTTAATTTCTTCTGCAGAGACGCTGGATTCTTGAGAACTTGAATTGTTCTCTGAAGGACCTAATCCGCTTTGCAACTACCACGTGCTCTGCTCCAATTTCCAGCTCACTCTTTGCAAGTTGCATTTAAGCTGTCCAGCATTTAAACTTCCCACCCACACGTTTAGGCTGACTATTTTTTTTTCCTGGGGAAATAAACCTGGGATATAAAAGCTTACGAATACTTAAAAATGTTAACCCTTATGCCTTTAATCCATATGCAACAGAGAACATTTCAGCTTTTATGACCCCGAAATTATCCCTCTTCAGGTTTTCCGGTCCTCTTGGTATTTGCTGATGGTGGAAATGAGAGAAATAAAAGAGGATGAAAGGTTAAAATTGTCTCTGGTAGATTTCAGCAAAGATCAAATCGTCTCCAAGATGAAATCATGGTTTATAACAGGGGCGCCGAACCTTGGATCCCGGGGCACACGGACCATCATAAATATGAATCAGTTGCCAAGCAATTTTGACAACTGATCAATTTTGATCACGTGGGGATGTCACAAAGGTCCTAAGTGTGATAAACAATCCTAAGTCACTTTTTTCAGTGTCGTTGTAACTTTGAACGGTCATTAAACGAACTGTTGTAACTAGAGGACCACCTGTATTGTGCAAGCAAAAAGCAGATCTCACAACAGCACAATGCCACCTTTTACACTCAGGTGTCTCCCAGATGTTTTGGGTTGTCACCACCATTTAGCCGGGGAAGGTGAAGAGAGCTGTCAAGAAGATGGTCACAGAAGTGAAATTAAGCCGGCTTAGAAGCCTTCACACTTGTGAAATGGTTACCATCTTAATAAACATGATGCCTATCATGCTAAACTATGGTTTAGCAACAGCTTTTTAAGCTAAAGCATAAATCCCAGCAGCTGACTTGGTTCAACACTCTGGAGTAGTGTTTCTCAACCTCCTTGGCAACTTCAAGACAGGTGGACTTCAACTCCCAGAATTCCCCAGCCAGCCAACTCTGGGAGTTGAAGTCCACCTGTCTTGAAGTTGTCAAGGTTGAGAGACACTGACTTGGGAATTCTGGGAGTTGAAGTCCACCTGACTTGAAGTTGTCAAGGTTGAGAAACACTGACTCGGGAATTCTGGGAGTTGAAGTCCACCTGACTTGAAGTTGTCAAGGATGAGAGACACTGACTCGGGAATTCTGGGAGTTGAAGTCCACTTGTCTTGAAGTTTTCAAGGATGAGAGAGACTGATTGAGGAACTCTGGGAGTTGAAGTCCACTTGTCTTAAAGTTGTCAAGGTTGAGAGATACTGACTCAGAAATTCTGGGAGTTGAAGTCCACCTATCTTCAAGTTGTCAAGGTTGAGAGACACTGACTCAGGAATTCTGGGAGTTGAAGTCCACCTATCTTCAAGTTGTCAAGGTTGAGAGACACTGACTTGGGAATTCTGGGAGTTGAAGTCCACCTGTCTTGAAGTCAAGGATGAGAGACACTTACTGAGGAATTCTGGGAGTTGAAGTCCACCTGACTTAA